CGCCCGCGCGCCGGGTGGGGGAATCGCCCCCACCGTGCGGACGGCGCCTACGCAGCCAATGGGCTCCCTGATAATTCAGCTAATGTAGGCGCTGTGATTGGTCGTTCGATCTGTACATTTTTCGGCACGTGGCTGTCGTCAACACATTGCTTTCTCCATTGGTCACTGGGTGACCTTGAACCTTTTCTCAATGTCCCAATGGGTTTTTTCAAATGGGTCTCATACCCATTGTGAATGACCTGACATTGTTTCGCTTCTATTGTACATTCAGTGACGTATTCTGATGATCAACGAGGATCGCTTCATAAATTCAGGGAAAGCAAAATCTTTCGGTGATAAGTTAAAAATAATCCAGCGCCATGTTCATGTTCGCTGAAAATATCCTTAGATTATCAAAAACACAGAATGTATAGTCAGCTAAATATTTATAGTCTACCACCACGTTTACGTTCATTTGAACATCATGAAATAATATCAATATAGGTCTCAGATAATAGACAATATGTCTTAAATGAGCTACTAAAGTATATCAGGACAATCAATCTTACCAATGATTAAATAAAATTTTGTTAAATCTAGACTTGTGGCCGACCGTACAAGTGCCGCGTACGCTTCCTATTTCAGCCGGTCAAAGGGGGTTGCCCATAGGGTAACGCCCCTTGACGATACAACAAGAGTTTTATACCAATAACTAGCTTCCCACCGGTGGCTTTGCCTTATATTATATATATGTATACTCATTCTGTATATTGATGAAAACTTCATTACAAATTCGTAAGTCTCAGCGTAAGCGGGAACCGTCTTTGTTTTATAACCATGTGTTAACTAGGTACAACATTTTTAAAAAACAGATCTATAAAAAAATTACTTGACAACTTGATTTATGAGATTTGTTATTGTTTTAAATAAAACTTTGTATAAAAGGTCAAAATATATTAGAAAAAAATATTTTCAATATGATATCGTAAACACAATTTACCAAGATTCACAATAGGAGAAAGGTACTTGCTATCAAGCTTTCATCTGAAACTGAAGAACAAAAGTCGACTCTCAGACCACGTAATAAAGCCAATATTTGTAACGGTCGCTGTGACCTAGTTAGATTGCTTGCTACTTTCATCCTATTCAATGTATTTTGGTACGTATAGTGAATAGAAAACTGTAGGTACGTTTTGTGATTGTATTGTAATAAAGAACACTGAAAGAAATATGAAGATATCACTTAATTAATAGATACTATGAAACTATATCCATATTCGACTATGTTTTTTGTCTGATATATTCGCATGAGACCTTGGCATAAGAGGTTTATAATAAAATGATGACTGATTTTCGATTTTTTATTAGTAATACTTTACCAGTTACTAATATTTGGAAATATTTTTTTTTTCAGCAATGTTAGTTTCGTTTCCCTATGACCTTGAAAACTTGACGCAATTGACAGTGTTATCGATTGAAGCTGTCGATTTTCATAACACTATCAATAGTGTGTTATAGTGTTGAATTACGATACTCTCGTATAATGATGGCCTTAGGGTAACGCCACTGCCTGGCAGTATCCTGAGTGGTCTGTAAAACCACCACATAGTAGTAAAGAGAATTAGTGTTATTGAATGTGATTTTTTTCCCATACGAATTAAAGTATTCAAACCTTTGATTATTTTATGGGTATTTTATTTATAGATACAAAGAAGAATCATTTAGTTAGTTACATTTAAATACTGTATATCAAAACTAAGTGCCTAAAATGTTAATAACCACTGTCCTATATAAATAAGATGTATTAGAAAACATCATATACATTGCTCAGATTTCAAGATAAGTGCCCAAACTTAGATAATCCAATACTCATGAAGTATTTGAAACAACGATGTTAAATAACATGCCCATACGACTAGCGTGGTATGGGCATGTTATGAGAAGGGACGAAAGTCATGTTACGAAAAGAGTGATGGGTATGCATGTGGATGGATATGTGAGTAGAGGCAGACCGAAGAAAAGATGGATCGACTGTGTGAAAGAGGTTTGAATTGGAAAGGTGTGGATGAGGAGCTGACGTTTGACAGAGAAGAATGGAAGAAGAAAACATGTTGTGCCGACCTCACCTAACGCCCACCTAACGTGGGATAAAGGGCAGGAGGATGATGATGATGATGATAAATAACATGAGAGACTCGATAATACGAGTATATGGAAAAAAAAACATTTTCTTCGTTTACCGTACCCGAATGGTTTTAATGCCAGTACGGCAATGCAGGTTTCAATGTTTCACCAAATCCTGAGCTTCCAGGTTCGAATGCCGGTCGCGCCAACGTTTACTTGTTTGTATTTTTTTTTCCTTGGTGTTGTGGTATCTTTGAGCGACGTATGTGATATAATTAGTAGATATTTTTAACAATTTATTGTGTTATAATGTTTGTTAATTACGGGAAGCTACCACTTTAAAATAAAATATTGATTGTGTATTTATTGAATTCGAAACGTGTGGGTGTTGCTGATGATGGTGACAGAGTAGGCGATAAGCATAGAGAAGAGAGAATGATGACTTGATAGAGGAAGATCATGACCACTAACTAATTATGATGACTTAACATCGACAAATTTCACACATATATATATATATATATATACTATATATATATTATTGTTAAGCAAATAAATTTAAAAACCCGACATTCTGAACCACATTCTACGGCGACAAATACAAACTACAATCTAAATATTTAATTTTTATTCAAACATTTTCGAAACTCAACCGCTTGTTAAATCTCTTAATTATCTTTAATTACACATTTATTAAATGCATTGTTTTCGTAACCACAGAGCACAGAAAAGTCGTAACCTTGTTCTTTGAATTATAAAAAAATACTTTAATTTTTAAATTATGCAAGAATGTACGCACAAATTATAGCGAATGAAATATATCGAATATTAGATTTTTGTGTAAAATCATACACCTATATTGAAAAATATTGTAGTGCAAAAGTACAAGGTTGTGTCTGGGGCTGCCAACATTTGCCGCAACATAACAGCGAAATTTAGTATTTTCAACAATAAGCTATTAAAAAATAGTACACTTAAATATATATATAGCACCTTCCTAAGTCTTACGTATTTATCTTAGTTTATGTTCGTTTCCTGTGGAATTTGATAGGTACCTACTTAAACATATGGTTAACAAATTGTTAATAAAATGCAACCCCAAGAAACTAGAACACAACAGTTCACAAATAAAAAAAAAAACAAGAGAAAACAATAGGTTAAGTAAAAAGGCGTATTTCATACTGTACTCATGTAATTAAAACAATCACATATACTTCTATAGTTATCAGGACTTATATGCGTTATTATAATATGATATAGATCACAAAATAAAAATAAAAAATGTAAAAGGAAACTAAATGAAATAAATAAAAAATTTTCCATCTGTATTTTCTGATTGATTTTCTTTTTTAAAATCACACACATAGCTATGTTGAATTTCTTCATGTGCCTTTCTGTGGCTGGAAATGATAAGCATAGCAATTGGTTATTTCGGATTATTAGGTTTTTTTCAATAATACTGTCTATTTAAATTTTACAACAAACGCTAATTTACAAACAGAAAACAGGGGTAAAAAAGCAAAACATCAATGTAAAAAAAAACATCAATGTAAAAAAGCAAATCTACTGTTAAAACAGTAGGGTTGGTAACACTGGTCATCTGGCGAGTGAAGTTGCAGAAAAAGACCCAATATAAATCAAATATTTATCTTTTCCGTCCTATGCACTGTAATCCTGTGGCAGCTTGTACTTGAGACAACACTGATTTTCATGCAATTTTGTAATTGTACTCACGAATATTATCGGTGTAATGTTTTGTTAGCTGTCTTTAAAAATATATAATAATAATGAAAAACAAAAAAAAAATATGACGTTCTGCGACTGACAATTGCACGACAACGGAGCTTCCTTCAGATATGCACCGATTTAAATAATTTTATATATGTTAACGTTCCCACAATATATATATATATATATATATATATATTGTATTGTGAATGTGTCTAATATTATTGGTTTTTGAAGGTAGCTATACTTTTAAGTAAAAAGACAATTAACACATTAGTCCTATGTGAACAAGGAACCTGTAAATGGGCCGAAACGTCAATAAAACTAAATACGAACGCGATGAAACCGTTTAAAAGTTGTTTCATTTATGGAATATCAGTCGTATATGTATAGAGATGTAATAACATATCTTTATTGTATAGTGAATATCTCCTCGACTTCCGTAATATAGGTATCTATATTATTTATCATAGGTAGGTATATCAGGTATCAATCAAGTTATAGCAAAGACTTGTCTGAATAGAAACGAATGATAAAAAAAAAATCTGGAAAATGATATTATAGTACAACAGTAGGGTTACCATCTGTAATATGTTCCCCGGATTCTGTAGATGGGCGGGCGTCCAGAGAGCATCAGGGGTGAGACTGCCTAATTCTTAAACCACATAATACGACTCATGGCTAGAGGAGTTAGGTCTGGTGCCAAGGAAGTGGATCTACCGCGTAATTTTCTTTATATGAAAAGGGACGACGACATATTTTTATTTGTTTGTCCATTAGGTAGATTATTGAAGAATATTAAGAATACATTTAGTTTAAATATCGCATGACGTCACACTTTTGTAAATTTTCTACAAAACTGTGTCGTAGCGAGCATGCACTCCGCAACTTTGTTGCCTGTTATCTAAGCTATTTTTTGTTGAATTGAAGTAAAAAAAATACGCATCTAATATTTTTCTATTATCTGGGTGACGGACTATATAGAATTTCTTTTTTTTTTACCCAGTCGTCATCCCTATTTCAGGTTTGGAGCGACTATTATTATGTACCTAGTCTAGTTATATACCCTATGTAATAATAGCCGATTTTCAACTTTATGCTCAACACTTTCGAGGTCGCGAATTCTTTATCGTAATTGATTTGTAATAACCGACTTATTTCTTTTCTAGCGCAAGAAAACAACGACAGAAATTCTAGAGCAACTAGAGAATAAGATAAAAGGCATAGAAGAAGATGGCCAGTATAAAGAGCAAACATATAAGCGTGTCATCGGATACATTATGGCGTATTCTGTCGGATTATATGTAGTGTTTGCTATCCTATATTATTATATGTATGTTGGAAAAAGTCAACATTGGCTACACTCGCTAATATACGCGTCACCTCTCCTCGTGCTGCCCATACTGTGAGTATTATGTGTAGTTTTGCCAGACGTCCCGTATTTCATGCATAAATTCAAATGTCCCGTTGGAACCGACTTTGTCCCGTATCTCAAATCTATTTCAGAAATGGTGTTAAAGGGCAATGAACGAAATAAATGTACCTCCAACTTAATGACATATCTAACTGTGATTTTAACTCATTTTTATTTTGTTTAAATCCAACAAAAATATGTTAAAACATATAAATTTGTTTTTTATTATTCCTGGAAAAAATGAAATCCCGTATTTTTCGCACATTAAAACATTTGTCCCTTACAGACTGAAAAAAACTGGCAACCCTAATTATGTGTACTGTAAATATAAGTGCAAAGTAGGATTGCCAAACAAATCGAATACGTTGGGATTAACCTGGAATTTCGGAGTACTTTCAGAATTCCGAAAAAAGGAAATGTTCCAACTAAAATTAAATTATTATAAAACCAATGTGTCAATTGCTCGATATTGGTATACCCTGTTTTATTTAAAGTGGCACAAGATGTAAACAAATATGGCGACTTGACAGTTTTAATAAAGAGACATATTATAATATTGAAGAATCCGTATATTATCATGACCACTGAACAAGTTTACTTAAGTAAATATTACATATTAATTTAAAGCGAGTGTTAATGGGAAATAAATATCATGCGACCTTCTGGAGAATATTAAGTTTATTGCATTTTACTTCGTCGTTTGATCTCAGTTTCACAGTAAACAGTAAATTTACAGTTTAAATTTGCCTTAAATGATGCGACACAATTTTTGAACAATAAAGTACTATAGAGCGGTTGAATCTTAATGTTTGCTGTTGAAATATTTATCCTTTATGTTGATTAAACTATTTATTTAGCATGAAATTTATTTACATTGAAATTGACATTCTAGTCGTTCCATCTGACTTTAAAATATAACAAAATGATGTTTTTCTGATCGCCGATAATTTTTATATACACAAATTTACTATAATGTTAAACTTTCAGTGTAAAAAGTTTTTTGACCGATGACTACTTTATGATACTTCGGTTACTTAAGCGGGATAGCCTATCTTAGAAATACACCTTACCCAAATATAGCACAAAATTATATGTTTTAGTACAGTTGGCAACCCTATTCCAGACTGAGCGAAAAAACTGACAACATGATATTCGGCGTTTGCTGCCGCAGGCCCCACACATTCTTTCGCCTTCGCGTCGTTTGGGACATTCCCGTAGAAACAAACGACTTTATTGGATTGCATCCTTTCATTAATTGTACTCACAATAACTTGAACAAAACTATATAAATTATAACAGTGCAGTAAATTTTTCGTAGCGACAATTGCTACTGTGCATAACACAAATTTTGAAATTAATTCTAATAAATTATTTATTTAAACTTTTTTTTGTTTTTACGTATTTCACTGAAGATGTAAATTAGTTTATTAATTTTATTTAGTATTCCTTTATACGCCAAAGACATTTTGATATATATTTACTTCAAAATACCAACGTTTTTTATTAATTATTTCAATATGCCTGACTAAGTTACTTTTTCAATCACTCATTTATATGTTCTCATCACTAGTTCTTTTAACCGAACTATCAGTGGTACGTCAATTGTTAGTTTAGAATGTATTATTTTCTTGAAAACTGTGATTTACTGCTTATATCTTAATAGTGTCTTTAAAAATGGTGTTTAAAGTGATAATTCAAGTTAACAAATCAGTCTTGGTTGCATTTCGTCGTTTGATCATTGCGAAAACTTCGTAGATAGTACCGGTGAGTTATTTGTTTACATCATTCGCCACTTTAAATGGAACAAGGTATAGAGCAGCCTACTTATTCTTAAAAACATATCTCATCATAATTTTTAGAGCTGCAGAAAAATTCTTGTTTCGTGTCATCATCATCATCATCAGCCCTTTTACGCCCCCTTTGCAGGGGCTCAGGCCTTCCTTATGGATGGTTAAGGAGGATGGGCCATGACCTTCCACGCTGGTCCAATGCGGATTAGAGGGTATTAAAGACTGCAAATGCAGTCGAGACCAACGGCTTAACGGCTAAACGGCTTTTTGGTCACCCATCCCGTGACCGACCCTTGCTAAAGTTTCTCCTGGGCCGCGCGCTTATCCACAACGCCACCGAGCTACTCCTACTACTCATTGTCTCGTGTAATGTTTTATTATAACCGTCTGGCAACCCTAGCAACGTTTTACTTAATTTATGTGTTATCAATAGTCATCATCGTCAGCCGTATAATAGTAGGGGAGCCCAAGCGGGGATTTCGGGATTTACTAAAGCGCGGCAGATTAATATACAGGGGGATACCTTGTACCCAGTTAAGTACCAGGACCAAGTATGAGCCCTATAAAAATGGCCGCCCGGCAAGGACGAAGGATCAGATTAGTAAAAAAAAATTGATCATCTGAAAATCTCGAGCGCGTCAGATTAAGGTAAGGTGAGCTAGTTACATGCTAAAATGTGTACATACCACTAATCTGACAATTTGAGAGTGACGTAAAGAAGGGGGAAGGCTACAAAGTTGTAAAAAAAAAACGTCACTTTGACATGCTCGAGCTAGCAAATTTTTTTTTTTATTTTGAAGGGAATAATTCAAGGATTACGAAAAATATATAATCTGACGATTTTCACAAGCCGAAGTAATAAAAATTCATCGATATGATTTAATGCGTTTAAGCTATGTGATACCTATATTTCCTTCTCCGCATCACTATTTCTCTCTTTTTCTATCTATTACTCTCTCACTCCGTCCCCACTCTGGTTTCGGTTGCCATGACGCCATGACAGCTGATGACACAGACTCGTTCGTGGCGTGATATTGTTTACATCGTATTTCCAACGTGTTTGCTTATTTTGTTATTTTAATGTAAATTTTGTGAATTAAACTTTTTACATATTTACTAAGAGAAGAAGAGGAATATGATTCTAGCGATGAAGATGATAATTAATAAAAAATACTGTAAAAATTTAATTTTCATATAATCATTTTCTTATAAATATAAGTATTTTACATAAAAAAAACATACACTTTTTTATTTGCATGCTAACTCTGATGCTTTTCTATTTAATTAAGTTCAATGATTTGAAAAAAAAAAAAAATTAGTGTCAGTTTAAGTAAATCCCTTCAGATAATCGTCAGATTATGAGATATCACGTCTGGGGCATAAAGATGAACCATATATATCTTAATCTGACGCGCTTGAGTATTTGAAAATGGCGATTTTTTTGCACATTCTAATAATGGTCACGCGTTTGCGTCACATCCAAATCGTCAGATTATTTATATGAGAGCTTTTTTTTAGGTTCACTTGACATCCCCTCAAAAAATCTGACGCGCTCGATTAAATTTTTTTTTCATTTTCGACCCTTACGTATAACCACCCCCATCATGGAAATGATCAGATTAACATACGACAGTTTTTAAAAATGCGTAGGACATGGATGATATTAATATCTGACGCGCTCGAGTATGTCCATACAACAGTTTTTTTTACATTTTTAAAAATCTATAGCCGCTTCCCCCACCAATGAAAAGGTATATATTTAATGAAATTTTCTTTTTGTTATCATCTAAGCTTCGCAACCCAATAGGTCTCTATGACGCTCGAGTAAATCCCGATTTAGCATCGTGGGCTCCCCTACTATAATGTCCCCACTGTTGGGACACAGGCTTATCCTATTCATAGATTCGAATCAAATAACGTGAGCTATTGGTATTTTTATATAATTAATGTTTGCACAATAGCATAAAAAGTCTTTATGTATTGTATATTCTGTTGTACAAATGTTTTTTATCCCAACTAAAATATTATTGATTCGCCATTCTTGTTTATCTTTGTTCAGCCCAACTAAGCAAACATTCCATTGTATGATGTAACAATTTTGATTGTCGTCTGGACTCCTTAACAAAAAATCGTTTAAAAATTCGACGTATTTAACGCATATAAATTTTTGTGCCATTTGTTGAATGTGAACTTTCGTAATTGCAATATCGGCAAACTGAAAAATGTCCTTGCCGATATGTCTATAATCTTTTTTTTTTTAATGTTTGCACATAGTGCAACCTAATGCAACAGACTTCGAGAATTTAAAATGAACATAATTCATGAATATTAAGCTGTTTATATTCATTGAAATAAAACGATAATAATTGTTTCTAAATGCCTCACTATCTTTCAAGTCACCGGTAGCTGAACATACGAATATCAACAGCGATATTATATAAGTAGATAGAATGTGACGCGGTCACGAGCTTGTCTTTGGATTATTTAACGCAATTTTCTTCGCAATAGTCAAAATAAATAGTTTTTGTAGTTACTATGTATAATATTGTTAATGTTTATTACAGAGTGATATTTGTTCGTACTACAATATCTTGGTACTACAATTGGTCTTTGAACAAAAACAGAATAAAACTAAACAAGATGCGAGAAGAGAAAAAGAAGATTCTAGAGGAAGTCATGAATACAGAGACTTACAAGGTAAATTATATACATTATAGTTACTATATTCAAATATTTAAGAACTAATTGGTTACCCTACATGAACACTAGGCACAGCAGTGACACTCTTATGACAAAGCAGCACATCGGTTAAATATAATTTATTAAGATGTACAAAATAGGTGACAACTGCGTGAAAGTACTAATTAAAAGTATATTTTACAGTTATCAAGGTTGCTACCCTTCACATGTACATACTGCAAAGGCTCACTAAACAAAAACTGTATACTTACTCGTATATAATTCTATTACATAATTTATAAAAAAAAAAATCACCAGTCTGCAATTAATTTTGAGCTTAATAGATGTAATAATAGATATGGTATAATATAGGGATGATAGGAAAAATCATCAATGATTATTAGAAGAGTTTCAATTACGCGGTAGAGACGCGAATTTTCATATCCACCCACGATTCCGTATTAAAAATAGTTGCGTTAAATAAACGTTCATTTCGCTATAAATTATTAGTATTTTTTATATTTACTTTTTTGCAATATATAATTCCATAAACTTGAGATCATTATATTGGCACTATACAAAAAGATCCATTTAGGCTATCTCGTGTGCCACAGCGAATCGAACACAAATACTAAATGCTAACGGGGCTTGTCGGTCTCTGTTACATAGTTTCTTTGTTAAAAGTGAAACGTACAATAAATTTGCTACTATTGGTGAATCATATATGCACTTATCTCAGCGAAATAAGAGTAGTTTGATTTTACAATTTTCTTTTTGTGATTTTTCTAACGTCTTTCAGTTAGAAAGAGAGAGGATGCCGATACCTCTTTCTCTACTGACGCTACCACAGTCAAGGAGAGCTATAAATAAATCCTCAAATCGTTCTGCTATGCTCCTTTAACGCAGTAACTGCATATAAATTTGGCATAATAGTCCATCATCTATCTTTGTTTGTCTCATCGATAGGCCTGTTGATTTCGTCTCGCTCTCTTGTTATCTTTTGCGCAGCCTTACCGAGATTTATGAATGAACGACTGTGATTCGTTCATTGCAGGTAGCTAAGGAGATACTGGACAAATACGGCAGCCCTGAGGAGCAATCGAAGGCGTTGAAGCCTTTCGTGCCGACAACGAACGTGCCCGGTAAACTAACCACGCCCAGTCAATCACCAGTTCCAGGTAGAACCCTAGTAGTCTTGCCTTGTCCCACAGAACAAAGAAAGACCTTAGTATGACGATAATCTATCACAGTCAACGTGTATGGTTTGTGACTTTTGTCCCCACTCTATCGTCACCATATATGTTGCACTTTTAAATTACATTCTTTTAACTGTTCATAGATGGCGCTGATATTATAAATTTTTTTAGGAAAATACTCATATGTAGATATTGTTATATTTTGAGCTTGTAACACTATTTTATCAATGTGTTGAACTATGACTTTGGCTGAATTTAGTTGTATTTGTTGTTTACAAAAAAAAGACATATTTTTTTATTTAGCCAAATAAAATTTTTCATTAAGCTGAAATAAAATCAAGACATGGATTAAATTACCTATACCGATTTCATGTTATAAGCGCAAAACATTGGATAGTTACGTTTATTAAAAAAGACCAAATTAGCGCCATCTGTTGACATTAAGCGAGACCCTGATTGATTTACGATATACGAGTATATGCATATAAATACGTCAGAGCAAAAACCAGTATTGTTTATTGATAGTTTGAAACGATCATTTATTTCGGTATTGATAAGAACATTTGTCATAAGTTTATAATCTACTCGCATATCTAACGTCTTTCTTTGTTCTGTACCTCAGTCAATGTAATAAAATCCTTCACACTAAGCGCCTTTATGTCATTATAAGGTATGGAGTTTTTCTTCAAATTTATCGCATGCTAAATAGTCCCTAAGTCGTTTTTTTATTGGGGTTAAGTGTACAATATGGGTTAGTTTTGATAGAGAAGACATTTTTTATTATATAAATTAGAATATAAAATCTATTCCATTAAATTTCTTTAGAAGACGTACTAACATTTGTTTTCTTCTCCTTTTTATTTAATGCATTTTTGACTGTTTTTTTACCACAATAACAAAATTCAAATAAAGATTACTTATATGCATATCTAAATCATTAATTTTCAGATATTTGATAGTTTAATAATTCTTTCACAAAAATAAAATAAAACAAACAAGCGTAAAATTAGTCAAAATTAACAGGGTATGACAGTAATTTCATCTCTTTCCAGCAACTCCTGGCCAGTTGAGACAGCGACAACTGGCTTTGGCTAGTTCTACCCCACTAGGTAACAACAACATGAATGTATTGGCGATTAACAACTCTATGGCCTTATACAAAGGGCCTAGACTTAGGGTAAGTAAAGTTAAAATCACTTTGAACGCATTTATACCCCTTTGTTTATAAATACATGTTTATATTCACTAAAGAGCTTGATGTCACAGCGATTAGTGTATTCTATCTTAACTTTAGAAAATGCCGGTTTTCTGATAGGTTACCAATTTTTTTTTATATTGATCTTCGTTAGCTGTTGGTCCTTTTGCTTGTTGGTGTTGGTGCTTCTGCAGTTTTCAGAGCTCACCGATCCGAGTTGCCCGATCCATTGGGCTCACTCGCGCGTGATGAGTTCTCCCAACATTAATAAGCTTACAATCGAACTTGTCTTCAATCAGTTTTCGATATATCATATAGTTTATTGATAACTGTCCTACTTTATCACATTAAAGTAAACGTAAGTTAGAGCGGGAAGGGTGTATAACGATCAGTGATTTGGAATGTATTGTATTAAGGTTGAGTTGTTAATTTGTTTAATTTACCAGTCTGATCAACTCCCGCGGCCGCTTCTGGATAGGAATCGGTCGGCGTTGGATAAAGTGGTCGATTACATATTGAAGGATGGTCCCAGTAACCGCATGGCGCTTATATGCAGTGGTTGTTCATCGCATAACGGTAAATTGTGATGACATATAGTCTCCAAAATAAATGGAAGCTGTGACGTTTGAATTTTTATTAGTCATTTATTTGTTATAATTATTTCATATAATTATTCACTAATAATATTATAAAGAGGAAAACTTTGTTTGTATTTTTATTTGATTGAAATGAATAGGCTCAAAAACTACTGGACCGATTTTAAAAATTCTTTCACCATTCTAAAGCTACATTATTCACGAGTAACATAGGCTATATTTTATTTTGGAAAAAATAGGGTTCCGTAAGATATTTGGGTTTTTCGGACACGTGGCGTAAAAAACAACCAGAAAAGTTATTTATTTTGCGTACGCTGCCTAAACTATAATAGATAGAACCATAAAATGTTCTAATTAATTGTTGATCTTATAAATATTCACAAAAAAGTCCGCAACACACTATACCTATCTATGTCGAGTGAGGCACAACAACCATTTTTTTATTTAAAAACCTTGAATATTTTTTGGACTTCATTTAAACGCGTTTATTTTACTTATGCTATTAATCCTTATCAAAATAAATTATTTCTTCACTAAGTGCAGTTAATTTAGATAATATTTGGTCTTTGAATGATTAAAATTGGACGTTTGGTTTTGAAGTTATGGCGAAATTAAAATATTACGATTTCTGCTGCACGGCCCGTTGCACAAAGGCGGGGGTGCGCGTGATAGATCTATGATTAAGGTACCAGCGGACCACTCGGGCGAAGCCGCTGGCGGAAAGCTAGTAAATCATAAAGATATATGTATCGTCTATGTTTTGAAGTTTGAATAACTCAATTGTCCAATTGATGTGGACAAGGAATGTTTGTTTCAGTAAGATAATATAATTCAGTAAGATAATATCTTACTGATTAAGTTATAAATTCGTCTTTCTATTGATTACATTAACCATTGTTTAACTGTTTTCCGACCACTGCCTATTTTACCCGCGTATGATGTAGTATAGTTTAAGTAATAGTCAGACGTTATAATAACAGGCAGATAGTACAATGGCAAAATGCAAGTAATGAGATTCTATTGAGATGCGTTTATTACGTAAATATTAGCAGAGTTGGCCTGTTGATAAATAGTGGACTAATAGGATGTCAAACAATACAAACCTTTCAGTTCTTTGAGGTGAATCTATAGCTTTATTTATTGATATATATCCTAGCTTTCCGCCAGCTGCTCCGCTCGCGTGTTCCCTATGGAACTGTTTATTTGGATATTATCGATATAGTAATAATGACAAATTGAATAGTAAACAATAGTTACAAACTCCCAGTCCCGTTTTCATGCCTTTACTTGCCTAATATAGCCTATGTTACCCGCATACGATGTAGCTTCCCGTAAGTGAAAGAATTTTTAAAATCAAATAAATAAACAAACAAACAATAGTAAACAATCAAGTCTCTCCTCTTTATAATATTAGTATAGATATCAATGTTTTCCCGCTAGGTATGGCAATGATCGAAGAATTCGACTATGTGTCATACTCATGTGCTTACTGCGGTAAGTTCAATCCTGCTCGCAAGCAACGCCCCCACGCGCCTCTACTGTCGCCCGCACGTCTACCTATAACTGGTAAGTCGAAAAAAATATGTTTTCACTTCTGTTGCTGAAAATGTCGAAAAATTTTGTTGATTGCTCAGAAATAATCGCTGATAAGCAGTAAGTCTGCCTACTGCACAATTTCGATTTTATGTAAAATGTCCGATGTTATAGTATATCAAATTAAAAAACCATAGACATAGACAACATAACGTGACAAGATTGTTAAAACAAATTAATTAACGGTAGCTGACAGTTTTATTATCATTGATTTTTTTTATTATAATTTTTATTGGTTAAGCATCATATTTTAATAGCTATTATCCTAGCCCGACGAGGACAAATCCAAAAACACAAAGGTAATCAGATTTAAAATAGTGTAACTACCACGACTTGCTTTTTTAAATAAAGATTAATTCGGTTAATGAAAGTGTAACTAATGTGCTGTGTATACTGCATACATACATAAATCCATCCTCATAAACTTCAGCATTTATACTATTAGCAGGATTGCACTTTCAAACATTTCCATAAAGTATATAAAACTATAAACATAAACACAAAAGGCGACCTTATTGCTAAGGTAGTAATTTCTACAATGCAGCCTGATATACCCGAAAAACTGTTTTTAAAATCTCTTTAAAGTTATTCCCCTGGTGTTTATTATGTGTTCGTTTATGGTGTGATTATCTATAATATTTAGAATGAGTATCCAATTAATTTTGATTTGTCAGCAGGGAGCCCTGATGATTCTTCCATCGCCAGTTCTGCGTCCGATAGTGAAGAAGAGAAAATCGAATCAAATAAAGTTGGTTAGTTTCACGTTTACTTCATTGATATTGTTCAGTTTGGAAAAGAACCATTTAAGTAAGGGCTTGTTTCCCTCAAATATATACAGTTAAATTTTTATTTAAACTATTAGAACAATTAAACTTAGGTCTCAGTCTTAATTTAATGATGCTTCGTAAACAAGTAAAATAAAAATATCTGACTTGTAATAATTCCATCCTATTTCAAAAATCCACAATGTTTTTAAAGACACCTATAATCTTTCCAACCATTTAATATAATTTTGACCATTCGAGTACTGATCAAATAGTGATGTACTAATGAATTACCAATTCGATTTATCTTAGTAATCATTTTATTTATGAAGAAGTTTTAATTGATATTTTATTTAAGTATGCATACCATTACGTGATGTTTTCTAAAAAAAAAAACTTTTTAGAAAACAACACGTTACGTTAAAGTCACTTTATACAACGCCTTTGGGTATTAATATGCTTTCATCTATAGGTATATGGAACAAAACAAGTTAATTACTTTAATATTATTTTATTACATTAAATCGTCTGTTCTTCCTTATATCAACTAGAATCATCACTGACATTAATGACGAATTGTTTAATATAAAAATTGTCGAAAGCAACATCACGATCCCAATCCGAAAATATTTCTCATTTCGTTTTTTCAACGACGTTTGCCCAGTTTTCAGGCATCACATTAGCACACGCATGTTTTAGCAAATCTAACATTTTGTTTGCAGCAGTAGTATTATTTCTAGCGGCGTGTCCTTTTCTTTGTGCCCAAATGAGCTCAATGGCTAATGCCAAAAACAGGGGACTATTATGAGTAGATGAATGCGGAAGTGTATGAAACGTGGCATATCGTACTAAGAATTCCCCCATACCACTGTCAATAATTGTATATTGACTTAAAAGCTCAACAAAAACTAACAAATTCGTTCACCTTTCCCTATTGGCACTGCGGACCTGCAGCAGTGTCGTCAGTCCAACTTCCTGCCAGCGAATGATTCGCATTGAGTCAAGTTTCGTCTGTAAATATAACATTTGACCAATCTTCTACTTTTTTTGCTTCTCTTAAAAAATCGCATCGAGCCAAAGGTATCATAATAGGCCATAGCTCTGGCTACTCGGACCTTTGAGCCTATCTTCCATATTTTTATTTTATTTATTTCTTCAAGTTTCATATCACTTCACAATGCCTGCCTAATCGATGTTTCTAAATAAAAAAAAAATTACCCCACAAATTGATTAGTAATCGAAAACTGTAATTATTTTTTCTAAACGATTTCTTTACATTAATCAATTAGCAGCGAATACATTCGATTCCTCCACTAGTTGCCATAGTACGTAACGGTTAATTTTAGCAAATGAATTTTCATAATTAAAAAAAAAAACGAGACATTTAAGGGATTTTAAAGTTTGTATTGGGAATAAGTAAGGTACATATAATTAAATACTTTAAATATTTTTAATATCACGAATTGTAAAGTTTATTTTTACGAATCACTGAACAGTTACGTTCTAAAGTAACTGTCAAAAAGATATTAAATGGTTGGAAAGATTATAATAATAAGTATAATATATGCAAAAAAAAAATTATATATGTAGTTTGTGGTTTTATAAACAACTAGCTTTCGCCAGCGACTTCGCCCGCGTGGACCCTAGGGAAATGTTTAGTGGAATAAAAAGTATCCTATTATCTAAGTCAGCTAACACCCTATCCGTATACCAAATTTCATTAAAATCCGTTCAGTAGTTTCGGCGTGATTGACGTACAAACATCCAAACATCTAAACATCCAAACAAAGAAACTTTCACATTTATAATATTAATAGGATTATAATTATTATTGTTATACATATACACAATTAGATAGAGAATCACTCTTATGGCAAGTAAAATAAGGTTCTCGTGTACAATTTCTATGACTTTTACTGTCTATTACTGCCCATGGGGCTCTTTGTTACAGTCTTTGGTTTAGTTTAATATTATACGTATTTAGTTTAATATTTTTTTTAAGGATCTGCAGATGAATTGGATCGACCCCCCTCTCCCATGGAAGAGGAGACGAAATCTCCAACCGAGAAGAAAGAAGACTGAAAGTTTATAGTCAAAACGAATATCCGACAACCGAATCCGAAAGTTTCGATTACTTTCCAAGATTCCATAATATAAAACAGCAGAAGGTATCACCTAATTTATTGGAATTTCAAAAGAGGTGTTGTGTTTGGGTGATATCTAAAAGGTGGTGAACGAAAGTTTTTTTTTAAATTGGGTTTTAAAATTGGAGGCACGGATTTGTGTGAATTGAAAAATTTTATTTATTGGCTACTTGTATCTGTAATATCCGGAGATTGCAGGTGATATCTTACTGGAAAGTGACAATGTCACTTTACACTTTAATATATAATTTCAGTAGTGTTTCTTTAAATATTTATTGAAAAATAATAGTTAAAATATTGAACAAAAATATAAAAGTCAATAAAAATATTGAAGAGATAAGTACCTACTGTAAACGTACGGTATTAAGTTATTTTAAGTATGTTCGAATACTTTAGTCCAAATCACGAGTGGTTAGCACTGAGCGCAAATAGAAAGGATAGTCGCGCAAGCAAAGTTGAAAGTGAAGTTAATTTATTATTATTAATCGGTATAAAATCTTATTTCATTCTCAGTTAATATTAATAGTTAATTACTGTTAACATTTGAAGGCAATGTTAATTATAATTAATTACTCGTGGTTTGACATATACACAGTGGCGTAGCGTGCCTTGGGGGCGCCCCTCTATTAAATTAGTTGGGGGCCATATGGGGTTAAACATTTTTGCTTACTCACGTTAGGTGCCCCTAGAGTCAGGGCGTAATTATAATTAATTACTCGTGGTTTGACATATACACAGTGGCGTAGCGTGCCTTGGGGGCGCCCCTCTATTAAATTAGTTGGGGGCCATATGGGGTTAAACATTTTTGCTTACTCACGTTAGGTGCCCCTAGAGTCAGGGCGCCCCATATCATTAATACGGCGGTAGCTACGCCCCTGCGTATATATTTATATCTTATGTTTTGAATACAAGTCAGTGCCTTGCTTTTTGGTTGTATATTGTGTGTTATTCCAATTAATTTAGAGGAAGTTGAATTGCCATAGAGATATGACTTACTCATGAAACTGATTCCAATAACGTGTGAAGTAATTCAAACTTACTGCTTACTAATTGAATTAAAAAAATAAGTATACGTATGTATACTATGTATCTAGTGATTGAACTCTATGGCATTAGATATACAATTGTATTGATTATTAAAAACGAAACTATTTCTCTAAATGAATCGTTAATCATGTTTAAATTAATAATTTATTTATATCCTTTAAGTTGCTATTGAATCTAATAGTTGTAGAATTAATTTATGTAAATTGCAATTATTAACAGGCTGGATACTTAATTTAAGATGTATTCGTAGTCTTCCTAATATTGATTTTTAACGAAAATACCTAACGTATTAGGTACCGATTGTAGACTGTTATTCTTCTTAATAGAAAAACACTTGGATATTTATATCTGGCTATTTTTTCTCTTTTATGCCAAAAAAAGTAGTTCCAATGAGTTATTTATCGTACGGACAAATAAGATCGTGGTTTTCCATAATTGCTTCAAGAACCCTTTTTTACACTAAAAAGGTATGTGTTTTTTTTTAGTGTTATAGGAACCTTTAGAATTGCATTCCCGGAAAAAGAAAAATCTCTTTTTCGACAGAGACAATTAAATCGGTACCATGGACAAAAAAATATTATTAATATAATCTCACACGGACTTATTATATTAGTCTGCGAAAGATTTAATGTTTCCATCTAAAACTATTATTAAGGCTTTTACGATTTGGAAATGGCAACACCCATGTTCCCACTCACGGATATTTGTCTAGTCAAACTGTCATGGGTGATTAGAATACGAGTCGCATTTAACATCATAATAAAACAATTAATTTTTGTACATTAACTGCTTAGCGTTGCCAGCTAAATTATCAAACGACTAAAAATATGTGTTACAAAAGCATACTAAAATTTGAGCAATAATGAACAATTCATTCAATTATTTTTTTTAGGTTAGGTAATGAAAATTAAAAAAAGTTGTTTGCTTTAGAATTACTTGCATTATACCTAGTGAAATTGTAACAACATAATAATAATAATTTATTTGCTTTTAAATGGTGATGTATACATTATATATTTCACCATTTAAAAGTCTATTTATGTATTATTAAATAATGCGGCAACCATTTTTCGACAACTCTTGGATTAACTAAAGGCGTCATTAAATAAGAGGTGTAAATGACGCATAAACATGACGCCATAATACATTATGGTTCAAAATAGCGCCATTACAGCGTCAATGTGGCATCAAAATAGCGCCATAATATACTGTGGCTGCATTATAGCGGCAATATTGTGTATAGTACCGTTAGTCAGTGGCGTAGCGTTGGTATCTACTGCCCGGGGCGGAAGACAATTTTGCCGCACCTCTTAATTAAATATTTTATATAATTACACTATACATTATGTATATTCATTAATTTTAAAGAATTTTCGACAAGATTTAGGTGTCGCCACGCAACTGCCCACGAATCGCGTGTTGTGAGTTCGAATCCCACAAAGGACAATTCTTCGTGTGTTTACAAATAATTGTTCTTAGTCTGGATGTACTTTGTCCCTCACAACACAGGACTATGTATCATAGAAAGCGGCCTTTTCTTTATATAAAAAAAAAAGATTTGAAATAAAAAGAAATGAACTAAACAACTGATGATCCATGAATTAAACTTTCTTTGAATTGTCAAAGATCACGTACTTTGTTAAAGGGGCGTAATAAAAAAAAGATGGTGTTATCATTCGCTACAAAGTATCATTTAAAGAAAGAGTATTATCTGAATTCGTCACAGTCGTCACACGTCATAAATAATGAAAGATTCCGTGAATTTATAGTTGTGTTAAAATCAATTCAATTCAAATATTTAAAAAATACATTTTATTGTTTACTGTAAAATAATATTACTGCCCCCTAAAAAGTGCCGCCCGGGGCTTCCCCCCTCCCGCAACGCTACGCCACTGCCGTCAGTACAATAATATATAGACAGTTGCGTCTGTGTTATCAGAATATCTTTGAATATTTGAAAGGGCGCTAAAAGGCATCGATAGACTATGGGTCCTTTATACTTAGTTTTTTTATATATCTGCGTGAGAGTTTTTCTAACGGTCATTTTTTATGATATTTCATACCCAATTCACATTCCCTAGAAGTACTGCCACAAATGATTAACCTAAATCTATGTTTTTTTTTCAAGCTGATGTGCTCGTCTGTGTGCAAAGCAGCTTATCAGGTTATCGCGAAATGTAATATCTTCACAATAAATTTCAAACTTAATTATAAAGAAATTAAGGTTTAAAATTGATTGTAGATAATTGACAGTATAGTATAGCTGTAGACTGTATAGCTTGATTTGCAGTTGACACGAAGCAGTGGCACTACGGTTCCGTGTTCCAGGTTCATGCATCGTTAACTGTGGTTCTTGGCAATATTATAAAGAAATGCAATCTTGTAGCTTCTTTGCAGTGCCAATATAGTGTAATGTATCTATGTTAGTCTCAGTTTTGTTATTGAATTGTTAGTTTTCACTATTAATTATTTTTTAAGACTTGCAAGCCCCCATGAATAATTTAAATTTAAAATATTAAATGTCAGTACCGAATAGAAAAACATTAGGTACTTATTTTTGCGTTAATGATCTAACGGACAAAAGGAATATATACCACATCCCTATTCATTACAAGCGTTTTGTTTTTGCTTGCCGTAGTAAATCAAATACTGTAATATTGTGCAGTTACGTTTGTTAAAATAATATAGCGTTTTATTTTGACTAACGTAATAGCAAATTAGTATATGTTAATATTTGTATTTATTTGTTACAATTTTCCGAAATATTTATATCTGTGTATTTTTCTGTAATAGTATTTTTGTCAGACTCATATAATAACAGTGAAAACAATTTAAAAAATATTTTCTAATTGGCAGGTGATCAAATGTTTCTAAAGGTTTCCGTTACTATTTTATAGTAGTTGTCAAAAGGGTATTTGACACTTTTCTGAAAAGTATTCTCAAAGGTTGTTCGATAAATTTTAAACACACTCGATATATTTCATGAGTATCAGTTCTATTGTCGATGAAAATTATTGTTAAAGTTTAAATAGCCAAAATCGCTCAAAAAACGTTTCTCTAAGTAATGGCGCTGATCACGTGGTATTTGTGACGTCACACGCCGGTAAATATGTCAAGGCGACATGATCACAGTCTAATCTGACATAACCTATTTATCATATCAACTATATTTTTACAAAGTAAACAAATAGTATCACAGAAGAGAAATTGAAGTTAAATTTTATGTCTTGTATTTGTTTCTAATTTTGTTTTTAAAAATTAGCTACAAATTGCATGTGTAATAACAAATTTTGCATATCTTCAATAACGCTATTTTGATATGACAGCTTCCTCTTACGTGTTACGCCACATGATGTAAACAGAACCAGTTATTACGAAAACCAATTACAGTAGTTTTCGTCGTTCATTAAAATTTCTAAAAATGTTGCATTTTCTTTACGTTATTTTATTAAAGCTAAAGATATTTGTTTGCAGAGTCTAATAAATGAACTTTATTAGATTATTATCTAACACGATGGCCACAATACGCAACTAATTTTTAATAGTGTCAAATACCCTATTATAAAACAAATTTTAATATTTTTTCTTATTAATTAGAGATTGAGTGAAGACATTAGCATTCAACTAAATTACTAATGTAATTACATTTACACTAAATTTGATTAAACTATTTGTTGTTGGATGTGACTGATGATATAGTACACCATCTTGAAATGTAATACAACTTTTATTTGATTGAATCGTAATTCGGCATAGATGGCGCCACTACACCACACATGTAGAGGTGTTATTTTAACAATAATATGCACGTAATTTGCTTATATATTTTTTTCTAATATCAATCGTCAATTGCAAACATGATACAAAAGGAAATGTTCGTTCGGTGAAGTAAGATAATATTCGACATTCATATTCGATAACTGACTATAGGCCCCAGTACGTCACCGTCCCGTTAATATAAATATGCCGTTTAAATTGATTTTGTGTTATGATCTTATATGTTTCATAATTCAAATAAATCTTAAACTATCGATAAAACACAAACGAAGTATTTTGAAAAGTTATTCAATTAATTGGCCATTTTGGATAGGTGGCGCCATGGTTAGCGATGGCCTTCATTTTATTCAATGAAAGTTGGGCGTCAGTAAAGATACACTCAATTGAATTGTCATTTTGTAAATATGAAGAATGTCAAGTGAATAGTGTTTGTTATTTATTGCTTGTAATGTTGATTAGCTATTTTATAATGAAACTAATATACAAGTACCCAGTTCAATGTGGTTTTATTATAATTTCTCCCTTTTTATCTTGTAATAATAAATATTTTATTCTTCAATAAAATACCACTAGTATTTTTTATATAAAAAATATAGTTGTGGCTTAAATGGGATAAATGACACGTTTTTTTGATGAATTAGGTTGTACCGAAGATTTATTATGGATTACACCATAAATATATATATCGCCCACCTAGATCTAAACTAAGATAACTCAAAAATTTGAGTGAGTTTTGACTTAGTACAATATTCAAATACTCAGTGATCACACGCATCTATCCAACACAACAGATTCAATAAAAGTTCGGGGATGAGTCGCTGGATAACTTTAGCTTTCTTTTGTTGAATCAACAGTGGTCGCGATCCTGCCACGTAAACAAATGTATTGTCAGACCTCCACATTAGTTTTTTGAGTTGTCTTAGTTTAGATCTAGGTGTGCGATATGTCCAATAAGCTTATTAAGCTTGATCGTCGGCCCTCATATTCATATTTTGTTCATATTCGTCTATTTCATTATATTGTTTTGAATTTTCATGGTCATTAACACTTAAATAATACTTATTTACAAGATAATACCTTGTACCTTATTTTTATCGAATCCCCAATATTTTCGCGTTTTTGCAAACGCGAATGAATTATTCTGGGTGGATGTTATTGGCAGACATCCACAGAAATCTATCTATCCTGTTTCGTGTTCAAGCTAAGCCCACTACGCCATATAATTAAACTATAATTTGTGCACCACGCACGATATGAAACGTGGAGACTAGGTGTGCACACTGGTACCACCCGATCCAACGTATGATCTTAAATATCAGATATTTTTGTTAGCTATCGTAATCTATTATAATACTTTGTGGGCTCAGTTTAACACAAGAAGTAATAATATTCATTAGCTTTAAAATATCTTCTTCTTCTTTTTTAATTCATGGCCTATTTGAATAAAGATAATAGCGCTGTCATCTGTAGTGGAAAGTGTTGCCACGTTAGTGATTTTGTTGGATATTTGGGAAAGTTTTGTGTTTTGATAAGAACCTATCTTTGACAAATAATATGATTCTGAACCAACAGATATAAATAAACAGAAACTAAACATTATTATGTAATATTTCAGTGTGGTTTTTGTATCGACTGGGAAATTTAATAAGTTAATATGACATTCCTGTCAGTGTCAGGTCATAATATTGACATCGTAGAATGAATGGTATATACACAGTCAAGTTTTTTGTGAATATTATAAGGAAAAAAAAATCATTCGAGTGTGCGATTTCTATAAATAAACAGTCTTATCAGTGTATTAAAACAACGTTGAGAAATAACGAGTATCCGATCTAATCGCCACGCCTCTGTTAATGATATATAATTATTTATCACTTAGCGGTCATTACGTCATATCGTGCTTGCAGATGGCAAGAACATGATGTTGTTATATTTAAGTGTAAAGCCCTATTATTAAGTTGATATATGTGTTTATTTAGCCCTCATAAACTTTTTAAAATAAAAATATATAACCTAAAAAAGTACACTTGTTCCGGTGCAAAATGTCTGTGTTGAGTAATTTCACTGTTTCTGTAGCAAAAGGGTTAAAGGGTAAGTATTTAATTAACTTTATTTTAATGAGTGTCAACTAGATGTATTTATTTCTTAGGTATTTCCTAAAATATCTACTTGCCATTTTAATGAATGTAACTCAGGTAAAAGTTAGATAATTTATGAAATATGGATAAAAAATATTTTCACTTTGAATTAGCTTTGAGCTGAGCTCATAGAAACACTGTATTTGCATTAAGAGAAATTATCAAATGATAACCGAAAAAAATTCATGTTCTTTTTAATTAAAAATCACATTTTGTTTTGTATTTATATTAAAATTCATATAAATACATCTTAGAAAACATCACTTACAAATTCAGTAGCATTTACTTTAATAGAGGAAATCCAAAATAATGAAAGTATCATAACACCCATATCTAAGACAATGTAGAAAAGTTTGTATTGTACATCAATTTAACTTGGAATCAAACCCTGAACCACAGAGATAACATCATCTTGAAGCTGATTTGCAAACCACAGACATCATTAAAATTAAACAGTGTCGGGGAACAAGGCAGTTGCAGGGAATACTATTTGCACCTAGCTTAATTCATTAACTCTACAGTTTCAATTAAAAGCACAAAAACAATTTTTCCTAATAACCTGGTAATGTATTGTTATACTGTTTATTACATGTAGCAGTTTTTATTTCAAAATATTTATATTATTTTTTCTTAAATATGAGTTTTTTTATACAAAGTGCCTACTAATTTTAAATTGATTATAATCCATTACTTTTTTTATGTTTACTATTACAATGGTATTTATGTAAAGAAAGAGAATAAAGAGTCTTTGTTATCTAAATCAATTAAAAACATTTATTCTACTGCAAATTTGTATTAACTGTTATATTTGTGAATTGTAATTGTTCAAGCTCAGCAGCCCACTGGTCAGGATTCAATCTGCAAGGGGGAGTTTAAGTTACTTTTGCATGGGCAATTTATAGGATGGGTGATTAAAATTTACTTTCTTGAAGTCTTCTATGCTTCACTAGGCACTTTAAGCACCCACCAATCTACAGTGCTCATTCTCACCATGAAATTTGACCCCATCTATATGGCAAGACTGTATCCCAATAGTGGAGATAGAGTGATGATCATAACTCCTATAGTTTGTTTTATGTAACTAGTTACACAATACATGTATGATAGGTGAATAATGTCACATGTACATCTATTTATCTTCCTGTTTTGATCACACTAATGAGCCTTCACTGTTGTAATTACTGTGAAATTATAGAGTCTGTAAATTTATATAATATTGTGTTGTTCATACAATTGTAATTAATGTCAAATATTGAATGGGTTTATTTTATTTAATAAGTAAGTATGTAGACATGATAAAATGATGATATAGATATGTTCAAAATCTGAGAAAGATATGTTTATTTCTCTTAATTTATTGAGGCAATTCCCTCTAATTGCTGTTATCAAAAATTTCCATTAAAATCCAGTTACAAAACATGATGTTATGTAGGTCATATTTGTTTTGCAGTTTAGTTTTGCCCTAGTAATATTATGACCATGGCATTGAGTTATCTATATACTTCTTTTGTTAATGACTTATCTTCGCATATCACACAATTCTGCAAATGTCAAGTGAATAAATTAATTTCTACATGTTAAATAAAAATGAATGAATGAGAGATGGCAATGATCTCCTACTTATGTATTAGGGTTGAATTGTGCTAATATTGTCATTGGCGTTAATAGCAGCTTTTTTGACACATTTCTTGTCAGTTGTCACTATATCGCAAAATAGGTAATAAAAGAATATGAGATCTTGATGAATTAATGAAATTCATCAGTTCTAATAAAATCAGTTTTAATAAAATAAAGAATTATATAATAGTTATTTAAGATACGAGTGCGGAAAATAAGGTTTTACAAATGAGGGCCAATTTCATTGGCATGAATTCGAAAAACCTTTTACGCTCAAGTTTTTTTACAACATTTTTCAATGCTTTTTGCGAGGAAATAAAACAAATATATAGGTTAATAGAACTAAGTATGTATTAAAGGTAAAAATTATTTGTTAAAATTAACGTGATATTTGAACATGTTTTCGTGTCATACATTTTTATTTGAAAATATTTGTTCTAGGCTCCTTGAAATACTTTTGCCTCTAAAGTTTGACATATTTTCATCAATTTTTTTTAAATTTCTTTGGTGCTCGACTAAAAAAAATAAAAAAAATACTTTTAAGCACATGTGCAGTAAAGGATTTCAGTTCATTTTTATTTAACACATGTTTAAAGACTCACTTTCGGTGTTTACAATGGATTAAAAAAAATTGCGCTTTATGAGCAACTGTATTGAAAAATTCATTAAATGAGTTGTATAATAGTTCAGACTGCAAACTATTTATTATATAATTTATTCAATGATGTCATGGGTATAAAATGTATGTATAAGATGAAATACTCTACCCAATGACTACCCGACAGTTTACTTACACGATTTTAAAACCCTTATTTAACCCCCTAAGAGATTGAATTTTTTAGAATCCTTAAGAGCCATATGATGAATTTGCACTCTGTGAGATTAGGTATTTTGAAGCGTTCCGAGTTCTCGACAATTTGTTCAAGTTCACGATTCCACAATAATGTGTTGAAACTACGTCCAAGCTATTTTGATACTTTCCCAATTTTTCTATTTTTTTAGTATTTCTATGGTGAGATTCATTATCGATTCCCGAATATTTTAACACGACTGCTCTCGAAAAGGAGTCTATTGTTTTTAGAATTAATGTATGTATGTAAGTTTTTTTATTGCACCATAACTTTTGAAAGATATAACGGATATGAATGTATAGGGTACCATTAGAAACATCATCCTAAGTTACCACATACTACATAGTGACACTAGCTATATTTTTTTAATATTAAATAGGTATGGGGACGTGTGACGCCACTTAAAAAAGTATGTTTTTTTTTTAATTATAACTTTATGGGTATCAAATTAAATGTCTTGACATTAAAGATATATAATCTCTATACATAATTAACTGCTCACTAAAAGGAATAAATTATAAATAAATAATTTAAAAATTAAAAACACGACTGCTAAGATCGGACAAAAATTAAAAGAAACCATAGGCTATATAATATAAATATCTATGATAATATGTCTATAAAAATATAAATATTAATTAAAAAATATTCGTGCCATATTTTTCGTCAACGATTTCGGAATATTTCGTCATCCATAGGAAATATGTTTTGCTTGGCATGATCTATTCTGAAACAGTCCCATTATCACCATATCATTAGTGCTGAAAAGTAGTAAATTATAATTATATTAAACTAGTTGTACCCGCGACTTTATGAGAATGGAAAGTAACCTAAGGTTCTTTTCTCATGGCTAGATGCGATGTTATTCGATATCGATGAGTGATATCGCACGAATCGCACGCACTTGATCTGCGATTGAGGAGGTTAAGCAACGATTGCAAAGGCCGGCAATCGGATGAGTGGTAAATTTTTTAATGGAACGATTTAGGACGACCGCGCCAGCCCAGTACGGATTACTTGGTAGATTAATCATTAATTCATCATTGGCACCTTTATTCTGATTGGCCCAGTGCGGAATTCTGGATGCATTTGAATCATCGATTAATAATATGTGCTTTAACACTACCAATCTTCATTGGTGTGCTAAATGCAACGAGGAATGCTGGTTGGAATAGTTCCATCTATTAAGAATATCTGTGTTTTAGCACTACCACACGTGGGTCCAGTCAGAAATGCTGGGTAGATTGACTTGATGCTGAAGTAGTTAACAAGTTTGATCTGCGATTGTGGAGGATAAGCGATGTTTGAAAAGGTCAGTAATCGGATGGGTGACGAAATTTTTTTACACGTTACTAAGCAAGTATACGTTAAAAAGAGAGCAAATATTCGCCATGCCCCTCTCCGCCCCATCACCACACCGTTCAGCTTAATAAAAAAGATTGATCGCCCATCCCATTATTGGCTTTTGCGAACGTCGCTTAATCTTCGCAATCGCAGATCAAACGCTAGAGCGTTTGATAGTTAGTACTAATAGTACACATAGAAGAACAGAAGAGAGCAAACCCGGCCACTTCCGGCAGTGCCTGTTCCACCCCATTCAGTCGAATAAAAGAAATTGATCACCCGTCCCATTACTGACTTTTAGGAACGTTGTTTAATTTTTGTAAATGCCTGTTTCACCCACCCAACTCAGCAAAATAAAAAAAAAGATCACCCATCCGACTACCGGCCCTTGCAAAAACGTCGCTTATCTTAACAATCGCAGATCAAACGTGAAAACTAATTGTACATATGCACGCGAAACCGTAAACAGACACACTTCATAATTAAAAATATATTGAATTTAGAAAAAGTTGTTTGATATACGGATCTCCGATAAATTTGATATCGGTCGAATTGCATCGAGCCATGATTCTAAGTTAATCCTTATTACATAAGTCAACTTTTAGTGAAAGTCCCTTCAAAATCGGCCAAACCGTTTCAGAGATTAGCCAGAACTATATACAGATAGACTGATAAAAAAATATTATTTTTGTATATGTACCGTGTATACACACAAATGTATTTAGTGAAAAGCGGTTATTATAATATTACAAATATGCATTCCAATTTTTATGTACTAGTATAAGTGTATTGAGAGAAAAAGTACCTTGCTTTATTTGCATATCTTAATATAAATATATATTTTAACTTTCTTATACAATTATACCTAGGGGTCTTCCGACCCATGCTGAAAATAACGAATGTGTATTAGAAATAATTCAACAAGCTATATAAATTCCATATAAATCGAACTTCGTGATCAAAGTTGGAAGTCCCACTATACTGCTCTATTAACGCTCGCTCGAACGTAGCTAGACCGAATATAGCGCGAAGTAATGCGACACAGATCCAACGTTGAGGAGCGCTCGCGCGGTACTGAGCTCAGACGGCCGCTGCATCGTATTTTGCGTTTACATTTATCGTTTTTATTGAAATAATATAATAAATTTATGCTTTAAAATCATAATATCTTCCTTATGAAATAGTCATTAATCTGGCATAAATTTTGTTAAATAATATTGTTGTGGCTAAGAGAAATTCAAAGTTAACTTCAAGCAATTTTTGATGTTTTTTGATTTATAATATGATTTTTTTTCTATATTTAATCAGTGCTATTTCAAAATTTCGACGCTACTGTTTACTTTACGACTATATAAGAGATATAATTCTATTTCTTTTATTTCGTTTGTTAAGAACAGTTGCTCAATCCAGGAGCTCAAAAAAGTGTCTTTGCGCTGTTTATGAAAATCTTACTCTGGTATTTTGGTTTTAATTAAAATGATGAGCAAAATTTCCAAAAAGTTAGGCCATTTATTTCTATACCAAAAGTCATTCTTCACTATTCAACAAGTCAAAATTGTTAATTAATTTTTGTTTCCGAGAAAAATCACGCAAAAATCACAGTTGAGATGTAATATGGGTCTTAATTAGGCAATCTGTTAATTATACTAACTATTAATGATCTTCATCTCTATTCAAATAATTTAGGCAGTGCAATGATAAATCAGTCAATCAGTCACCTTTACTTTTTATAAATATAATTAACAGTAGATGTGTAAGAACCATATACGGCTTCAAGATGTCGTTAGTTTAAGGTTGTGGGGCTACCGGCTACTACACATACATCACTTCCCTTGACATTTGATTAAATCAAAATGCACTCAACATTCAATACTCTATTGTTAGATACGGTGTACACATTCAACACATTGGGTGTAATGAAACGCATTCAATATAATATTGAAAATTCAGTGCATTTTGATTCAATCCGATGTCATAGAAGTCAATGTTCAGGTTTTTAGTTTGTCATCTGACCAATGATTGTGAAGTCGTCTAATATTTTTGTATTTATATTAAGTGTACTATGTAAATAAAAAAATATATATATTTCCCAGGTATAAAGCCGAACAAGGAACTATATGAATCTATGAGACTTGGTCGCTGTGGCAGCTCTGTTCTTAATAATGGGCCGAAATTCAAGATGGAGAAGTGTCTCATTGTATCCAAAGTAACCAGATATGAATATGAAAAGTAAGCAAATATATACTTAATTCGTTTCTAACAATATTCCATCATAGAAATAGAAATTAAATAGTTCATAATGTTATTATACATATAAGAAAAAAAAATGTATTTAGTGCACAAAATTTATATTGTCTTTGTTACAGTGAAACATAATCATGTTCTTTTTTACCTGCAAACATTTAGGATAAAAAATAAATAAGTCTACAAACACATGGCTATACTTATTATGTATGATAATACAACTTTAGACAGAGGTCGATAACCTATTTTTGGCAATATAGCACAGCATGTCCACTACTACTTAAATAAATATAAAATTTTTAATAAATATTAAAATTAACTATCAAACTGAAATGAACCTATATCACATAATTGACTAAACTTTAGTGAGATATCCATATCACATGGAATTAGCTTGGGCTTCGATCAATAACTTGGTCTTCGATAATTTATTTAATCGTTTCTATTCACCCTTATTATCTTCGTTAGGGAACTGGTAATAATTAGTATTAGTTAATTATGTATATCTTAGGGTCATAGTTTGTTACAGATGCGTACACATTGAATCATATTTTTTCTATATTTAGATTGCCATACACGCGTATTTTGTTATTCAATATTAGAAATGTTTTTCATTTCAATATAAACGGTATCGCTTTTCAATGTATAAATAGCGTGTTATTGTTATTAAAGATTTTGAATGTTGTTATTGCATTGGATTTGGGTTTAATTTTGCGCAGTTATCATGTTCTTTGAATTATATGGTATGTTTTATGTTTTACAGAACTTAATATTTATCTGGATGACGTAGTTGTCAAAATAAATCTAGCTTACGTAAAGATAAAGATATGATAATTTTTGACAATAATTTTGGATTTGTTTACATTATGTTCTAAAGTTTGCAAATTCTCTATCTTTGAAAAAGAAAACTAAGGCCCGTATCGGTAGTTATATTGTAATTGTTTTATTAAATCATACTTTTGTAAATAACATTGTTAATAATTGGTTGATACTAAACCTATAAAGTTTGTGAATGATTATTATTTTTCTGCGCAGTGCTTTGCTCTTTCAGTTTTCAATTCATTCTGTTCATTTCTATTACTGCAGCACGTATAAGGTACCTACGTCATCGTCGAATTCTGCCGAATGTTTTTTTTCTTTTTTAACCTTCTCTTTTTTCCTTTTTTATACTTATCCAATGTCATAATAATCATCAGTCTTTTTTGAGCCCCCACTGCAGGGGCTCAGGCCTTCTAGGGATGGTTATGGCCTATGGATGGTTTATGAGGATGGGCCTTACTTATTTAATGTTGAACTTTGTAATTTAAAACTTGTTTCTGTGCAACATGGTTTAAATAAAGAATCTATCTTGTATATGCTACATGTTTCTCCAAAAATTCTGGTTACATAACCTGATTGAGGCGATTATCTAAATAAAGTGGTGTTGTTTAGTATTTTCAGTAAGAGCACTGCTATTTTAAGTGTAAATCTGGCTATTATTTGTTGTTACATTGTGTAGTATCAAGGTGGAACTTGTGCAACTTTTTCCTGCTGTTTTACCAATCTTGATTTGTATTGATCTAAGGGTTGGCTCATATCAGACAGAAGATGCGTCATGTCTACTCGGGCGCGATACGTCAAAATTTACAAATTACATGATATGACATTCGAACTTGCACGCTAGACGTAATTAGGGTATTTTACTAATTTCGGAAAATAGTTTAAAATTATTCTTTATATTACATACCCAACTAGCAAATTAGTCATATAAGGTAAAGTTTATTCAGCTTTTCGGTGTTATAAAAGTCGAGTAAGTGTGAATTATTCAGCACGTATCGTATAAAAGCATCTTATATAGCTTTTGAGTTATTCAGCATTTCGGTCACATAATGATGCTGAGTAAACGTTTAGTCAGCATCCTTATATGACTTAAGTGTCATATAATATTTTGCCGAATAAGTCGCTAGTATACGACGCTTATGTTACTATTTCGTCGAGTAAAAGCATATTATATAGCTTTCTTATGGCAAGGTTGACTCAGTCGAGTAAAAGCAACATTGTTGCTTTTATACTACTATTATGTAGTATACGTCGCATTTATACGACTATTACAAGCCTAAAATGTCGTATAATTGTTTCCATTACACCGATCAGATTGTTTTGTGTAAAATGCTGTGAGTAGTTTACAGTTATCGAAAATGGACTGGAATAAATGGAAAAACAAACAAAAAGTATTTTTTAGAAAACTTTTTAGGAAGTTCGAAGGAACCCTAAACTATAATCAGAGTGGTATCATGGCGCTCATACTGCTAATTTGCTGTATAAGAAGCTATTATACCGCCTGTCAGCAGTAAAAATGGTGTACAAAAATAATATTGATATAAAAATATTTGTTATTATATTCATATTACTAAGAATTAAAGGGGGGCGTTAAATATTTATGATATAACCTAGTATATTTCCTCAGAAAACTTACCTTCGCAATACTTTACAACCCTATGCGTGAGTTTACGAACCTACAAATTAACATGTCTGCTAAATAAATTGTACTTACCGATGAATTATAATTTTTAAAACACAACACGTCGAAGCACTTGCTTATTTTATTTACTATAAATGTTTTCAGCTGTTGTGTATCCCAGGTCGCTTCAATAAGACAAACATGTCATATAAAAGTCATATAAGTTACAGTTATAGCGCAACATAAGCTTGTAACAGTCACTCCGGCGATAATTACGTGACGATTTACCTGAATAAGTTACCTTTATACGATGTCTATGTGACTGAATTGCTGAATAAAATGGGCCCAAATCGCGTTGTATAAACGTTTTCATTACGTTTATACGACTTCTATTAGGAGCCAAAATGCTGAATAATTTTCGTTGCCGCGACTACTATATGACATATTTTTGCTAGTTGGGTAATAAGCACATTTCCGAAACCGTGCGAAAAACGCTGTATCTGTCATGCGACTCCATTCGCCGCGTATAACGTCACACACAAGTTAATAAACAAACTTCATCAAACTATAATCGTCGACGTCATCGGAGTTGCAACCGCTTTCAAGGCATTTTCGTTTCATAAAAAATATTAAAAAATATTTGACTTATTATGTGTAATTTGCAAAGATTACACATTATTTCGTTTAAAATAAAGTGAAATATAGGTTATCTTATAGGGTGACTACAATTTTTATTCTTGTCAAATACCCTATTCTGTCCCACTAACGCATACTTTAATGAGACGCTTGATGAATCGTCCGTTTGATTTACACTGACCGTCAATAACAATCCTTTTAACGCACTTTAGAAATATAATCAATGGAATAGATTGTTTGAGTTGTTTGGAGATTTTAATTTAATTGTCATGAATCCTCGTAAGAACACGAGGAGAAACGCGATTTTGCCCCTTATGGGCTATAATCAAAGAGCAAAACATTTGTTTAGGAATGTTATCACGTTTATAAAAGATAACAGAATTGTACCGGAATTATAGATATCGATGTGCAGGAGGTCGAATATAACCACGTGATAGATTTGATTGATGATTTTAATCGATAAGTTAATGAAAACAAATGACGCGCCTCCAATTCATCTACCGTGCACATTCAACGTTATAAATAAATTGTGATGTATGAGGTAGAGTGACTTTAAATTTGATTTAATGGTTGTTGCCATACACTGGTGCCTTACACCAGTTTCATTAGCGGTGGGAATTTTTCAATGTAGGTTTGGATTTTGAGATAAAATTTAAGTGTAAGCTTTTATTTTTTCCCGCCTGAACTTGCCCATATCGCGCTTAAAGATTATGATTATGAAGAGTTATGAATTGAATTGAGGCTAAAGACGTGTCCACTATCAAGGTATGGTGTAGCCCGTTCTTGTGTCCCGGCAGACGCAGAAAGACGAGTATTTGTCGATGAGGATTTGTGGCGTAATGTCGTCCATTTACTTACAAGTCAAATACAGTGTATTTTTATTGTTGTAAATTGCAACAATGCTATCATAATTATATCATTGTTGCAAGTCAATTATATATAAAACAATCCTGACCTGTACTTGAGGTTTCGAAGTATTTTTAAGATACATACTTTTTAACTTAATTTTAACGTTCTGAAATTAAATTAAATATGTTTTTGTTTTATTTTAGACACTGCCACGACAACATAACAGATACGCAATTAGAGAAAATACTAAGGAAGCGTGGCTCCGATGTTGATTCTATGATACAAACACATAAAGAACAGAAGGCTTTCGAGGAGAACATTGCGCGCAGTCTCAAGGACTTCGGTGTAGAAGTAGAGATGGCCAGCAGGTATTATCATTATGTTATGGTGTTTGCATGGAATCTTTTTTGCAGTCTTAAATTGTTTTTGGGTTTGTTAGATTGCAAAATTGTTAGCGATGATATAGAAGTATCTTTGGGACCTATACAGTCTTATCCTGCACGTTGCTCTACATATGGCCAAGGAGAGGAACAGATGGTATGGATTTGTCCGGAGTAAGATCGCATTACAAGTAATCACGACCCTTAGTAATGAGGACAGTGACGCGAGGAGGAGGATACAATCTTATTATAAGACGAAGATTAAACTTAGTGCTTGGTTTGAAATATTGGCCGCTTAAAGCAAATTGACAACGTCGAATTGAGATGTGTTAACTTATTTTGGCCGGATAATGATTTAAATTTGGTACAGTTTCGATTTCGGTCCGGCCTGTGAATAGTTGGCATAAACATTGACGCGAGGCACCAAGATGCTTCACAAGTCACATTAAGTAGTTTCTTCCGGTAGCATTTTCATTTGTTGTGTTCATTAATACGAAAATATTTGTGTAGGAAAAGAAGTTTCGTTATCTCTATTTCCCCTTTTTCTCTTCGTAAAGAATCTTCCTTGTGATTTCTTTAATATGTATTAAAGAATATAGCTGATTGATTAATTCGTTTTGCGAAGTTTGCGCTTAGCAACACATTAGTGAATCGTTTTCATTTATACAGATAACAGTTAATAAGATTATAGCCGTTATGATCTTCACTTTAATATACATTGTAAATAGGTAGTATATTTTCTCGATATTTTTTTTCAGACTTAAATATAAGGATGATTTAATAAATTGGTGCGATGTGGTTGTACCGTGTGGCGGTGACGGCACTTTCCTACTAGCAGCTTCCAGAGTAAGAGATGCCAAGTGAGTTTTTGACTGTTGGTTATTATGTGGTATATTATATGCGAAATTTAACTGAATTCCTTTATCATAGAGTCTTTAGTTTTTACTATTCAGAAAAATTATGTCGGTCCTATACAGTGTTATTTGTAAAACCAGCATTATCGCAAATCTAAAGTCCCGACTTCATTAACAACGTTTGATCTACGAGTTTAACTATAACTCATTACGCAATTTTTTCAAGTAATTGTACTGTATGTCCTGATATTTTTATTTTTTTATTTATTATTCTATTAGAAAGTTACAATTTTATTGCATGGAGTTACATCTGCCAAACTGCGCAGCAGTTTGTCGGCAGTAGTTCTCTTCTTAACATATATAACTTATTTATAGGGCTATATTTTATTTATTCGATGACGCTTTATTCGTTCTTCTAAAGAATATTACTAGTAGATTTAATTATTATAATTCAAGCGATAAATTGAGAATAGCTAGGTGGCGTAGTGTAAAAGTGCCGCGGCCCGCGATCGTTGTCGTTCGATCGTTGGGTGACCAAAAAATTATTACCTCGAGCTACTTCGTGCTTCGGAAGGCACGTTAAGCCTTTGGTCCCGGCTGCATTTTCAGTCGTTAATACCCTTCAATCCGCATTAGGCCAGCGTGGAGGGTCATGGCCCATCCTCCTTAACCATCCATAAGGAAGGCCTGAGCCCCTGCAGTGGGGAAGTAAAAGGGCTGGTGATGATGATGATGAAGCGATAAATAAAATAAAATAAATATTTTTGTATGTAACTAAATGCAATTAACGAATTATCAAAAGTTATAGAATAAAAAAGGTGTTTATGATTTTAGCTGTCTAGTCCTGTGAGGTTTTTAATGTATTCCAAATGACCCTGTATATAAATATCTTGCATTATCTAATGTAAGTTTTATTGCAACAATAATAAGGTTTAATATTGTTACAGTAAACCAGTGATAGGTTTCAACAGCGCCCCACATAAGTCTGTAGGAAGGTTGTGCTTACCTACTTGGTGTTCGAATGATGTCAAAGGTGCGCTACAAGCTTTGAAGGAGGTACGTTATGTTTTAATATGCCATTTCGAACCTTATGTTGTTTGTACTTGGGTACACAACTATACATTATTTTATACCTAGTGCTTCTATCAGTTAATTAACAAAAAATATGGTGCTAATTTTCTAAGTCGATCTGACATCAAAATTAGCGTTAATGTTGCCAAATAAGATAAAAACGATTGCTTAGCTCCTTTTTTATGTATTTACTTTATCACTGTTTAGCGTTGGAGTAAATTTGTGCTGAGACTGCAATTAGTATTAGTCAAAACGTATATGGTTCTACGGAAGTAATATTTACTCCTAAAACGTAGTAGGTTTGCTTATTCTCTGTATAATATGAATTGGGACTAATACTAAAACTGAAATTTTAGCATAATATTACTCTGGGGCTAATCCTTGTTTATTAATTGTACTATAAATGTTTTATGTATTTACGACTGTAGTTTTGACGCAAAATTTTTGCTTTTAGTCTTTATCGCCTACAATAGCTTTATTCATACTTATTGGTTGACCAGTAGAGAATGCGTCTATAATATTAAGTCTGCCATTTGTCTTTAGTTTTAGACAAATAATAATAAAACCGATAAAAATGTTTATACTTACTTCAATAAAAGGGATTCATGTCTACTAAATGTTTTCGCTTTTTTCCCAGGGTAAATTCAGGTGGATGCGTCGTACAAGGATACGTACTACAATGAGATGCGAACAGAAATTATTAGATAAAATAACACCGGTCGACTTACACACATTACATTTCAGCAGGTAAATATTCAAAATTGGCCTTTAAAATTAAAAAAAAATCAGTTTGAACGCATTTTCTTTGTATTCGCATGTTGCATTTTGTTTGATCTACAACATAACTCAATACTTTGAACAAAGAAGAATTTTCAAATATTTTATTGCACTGTCTTGATATTTATAACTTTATGTTTCATTATTAAATTAAAGGATAATTAAACGGAATTAAACGGGCTGTTTGAAATATCTACTTTAGTTGTGCATAGACTTATTAACATTCAAAGAGCAATTAAATTTTATTTATTAATAGTTGTTTTATAGCGATTTCGCACGAGTAAATTATAGTCTATGTCAACCGCGTATGATATAGTTACCCGTAAAAAGTGTAAGAATTTTTAAAATCAGTGCAGTACTTTCGGTGCCTATTCGATGCAAACATACAAACAATCAAATCTTTCCTCTTTATAATATTAGTATATATGAAAGGAGCCCGATAGCGTGGTGGTTAGTGCTTTCGGGACATGGTTGCTACGCAAATTTCGTTACGGCCGGTTATAGGACGGGTGACCAAAAAATATTATTTCTAGCTCCTCCGTGCTCTGGAATGCACGTTAAGCCCTTGGTCCCAGCTACATCTGCAGTCTTTAACACTTACCAATCTGCATTAGGTCTGAGTGGGGGGTCATTGCGGACATTAATAGGTTTGCGATAATGAAGGTCATCATCATCCCTGTTACGTCTCCACTACTGGCTCTCAGGCTTTCCTTATGGATGGTTAAGAAGAATGGGCCATAACCCTCCACGCTGGCCAATGCGAATTGGAGGATATTGACAACTGCAAATGCAGCCGAAACTAATGGCTTAACGTGCCTTCCGCAGCACGGACCAGCTGGACAAAGTATTGTAATATTGTTGACCGGCCCTTGCAAAAGGTACTTAACAACAACGTTCGCGGGTCGCGACGCTTATATCAGATGATGAAAGTAAAATGTAACGAATTATGAAGTTGTTTATTATGTGAGCTGGTGTTTTACAAGTAACCCTGTATAATTAAAGTGTTTATCTATGCAAAACTGCTAATTGTCGCATATTTTGCTCAGATACCCGCCGGTATTGCATCATCATGACAGCGCTGAGTCCCGAGAGGCGCAGACTAACTTCAATAATACAGTTGAACCCAAAACAACACTAACCACGAAAGTGTTGCCATATTTAGCCCTAAACGAGGTGAGTGTGATTAGATTATATGTATGCGTATTTGTATTTTGTGAAAAATTATTATCTTGAGCTATTCCGTGCTTAGGAATGCAAGTTAAGCCGTAGGTTCGTTAATACCTTCCAATTCGCATTGGGCCAGTGCGGAAGATCATGGCTCATCTGCCTTAACTATCCTTAAGGAAGGCCTGAGCCCCTGCAGTGGGGACGTAAAGGGGCTGATGATGATGATGTTTTATTTATATTAGTCTTGTTTTGAGAACAGGCAAAGATATTGGTATTATAGAAATTTAAAACAAAACGAAATTTAAAACGTTTCAGTAGAGTAGAAATTCAGTAAACAATCATAGACTAGAATAAGCCTATGAAAGATAAAGTAGTTTTAGTAGGAAGAATATACGAGAGACATTTTTGCTTTGCATACTAATATTTTAATCCCTAGATCATAAATAGCAATTAATAGAGTAGGTAGACAATATTTTATAAGCGGTAAAAAGTTAATTTATAATATGTTTTTTTGGTCTGAATATATTTGTCTTTTTCTTTTGCTACTTAGGTGTTTATAGGTGAGAGTGTGACCTCAAGAGTGTCCCTCCTCCGATTGCAGATCGACAACGGCAAATGGACGCACACGAAGAGTTCCGGTCTATGCGTTACGACCGGAACAGGAAGCACTTCGTGGCATTTTAGGTAAATAATAATTGGTTACTTGAGATGCGAATATTATTCGGCTCAACTTTTACTGAACCGGATATTCGGCCAATTGTTCAAATTACCATTTCACTGTTACCACGTTACAGGTTTAAAACAAATTTTGATTTGAAGATTAATTGATTTCTTTTATTAGCTTTCTAGAACACGTTCTTCATAGGATTTGATTGACTTATAATATAATATAAATCTTACATAAGAATTTTAGTTCTATACTGTGTTGTGTAGTCAAGAAATACTCACACCGAATATATTCGGGACCCAAACCAAAGAATTCGGCCGAATACAAATAGTGAAAAGATGCCGAAAATTGAATACCAAATATTGACCCACTATCAGATATATTTTTCGCAAAAAACATATTTTACCTTTATTTTATAAATTACCGATCAAACTCACCGTTACTAACAACTTTTTTTATGCGTCCTCGCGTTCGTCTTTGTTATTTATTCCAGATTCGATTATATTACTAACTAATTGATGCACTGATAGAATTTATGACTCCAAATCTTTGTGTTACAGTATAAATTGTCTCCGCACTCATTCAGTATTGGAGTTGATGAAGATATTGTCAGAAGAGTATGATGTGAAGTTGGATACAAGTCTGGAGAAGGCTCGTGAAGTTGCCGAGAGATATAATCAGAAGTTGATGTTTGCAGCTGGTAAATAATATTAAGTATTGATATTATTTTATACAGGCAGTCCTCGTACTTATAGCATGTTCGGTTCTCAAAATACGCGACGTAAAACGAAACTACGTAAGTCGAGACATATTTTTTCATATGTTTACATATAAAATGGGTTAGGTTCTACACAGACTAAACAAAAAACTACATTTGTAACAAAGGATATAGATACTTTACTGTTAAAAGTAAGTAATTAAACTTAAAATAATTATAAATGTACTTATGAAAATGCTAGTATTTTTGGTATTTCAATAACTTTAATAATCAAAATATGCAATATAATAATAAATAAAACTTTTGACTTAAACTATCAATTGTCGATTGCTTCGCTTCTTTCTTCTTGCTATCATACAGGTCATGGTAACACTGATAGGTTGCACGAATTTTGTTATTAACATTAAAACCCCACGGACATTGACCGCACGACAAGTGAATTCTCCTATGCCGGAAATCGAAACAATTGACTTATGCTTGAGGAACAGTGTCAAAACATTGTTTGACTTAACTTGAAACGACGTAAGTCGAGGACTGCCTTTATTTTTATTGCAACATCTTTATTTATGACCCCATTAATGAATCCCATTGCTGGGGAAGTGGCATTACCTATAAACGGAATCAAACGAGGAAAACAGGACACTACCCACATTGCGGGCCCAGTGCACATTTGTGGGTGTTAACGACTACAGATGCGGCTGAAAATAACAGCTTAACGTGCCTTCCGAAGTAGCAGCTTGTGATAGTAAAAATTTTAGCCACCCATCCTATGGTCGGCCCTTGCGAAGGTTGTTTAACATTTGAAAATGCGTTAATGTTGAATTGCAGATTCGGAACAATTGGCTTATAGTGTAAGGGAATATATAACGTTTGAAGAGTGGCCGGCACCAAAAGGTCTACGTGTTAGAGATAAAGCGACCTCTGTCAAAGTCAGATCACATTGCACAGATGCTGGTGAGTTTCTATATATTTATTTGATCTATATATATCTAGATAGTTAGATATTATATAGATAGAAATCAACTGTTGTTCGTTTATTATATATATTATCATAGTCCAGGAAAGATTTAAACGCTTAGAGGTGAAGAGGTGACCGAAGTACACTGGGTCATCTAGTGTTATTATAAGTACATATCAATTATTCCATGCGCATAGAGCTGTAAATTAAAACTATTACGAAAATTGAAACTCTGCTTAATTTTAAAGTTTGCATTGTGTGTAGAGCTCAAAATTAATTGCAGAAATAACTTATTTTTTTTTAACCATATATGTTGATGTCTGTACGTGCAGAAAAGTGCTTAAAGGATATCATCCATTTTGGATCAAAACGTGAAGGTGCCTGCCAAAAAATATAAAGTTGATTACGTTCGGAATAGGAAGCTAATATTTATATTTGTATAATTATAATAGGCATGACGACTGGGAAAGAAAAATGCAATTCTATTTAGTCCGTCAGTCAGATAATAGAAAAATATTTGATACGTTTTTTTTTTTACTTCAATTTAACAAGAAATAGCTTAGATAACAGGCATTAAAGTTAAGGAGTGGGGGCTCGCTACGTCACAGTTTAGTAGAAAACGTACCATAACGTGACGTCATGCGAAATTTCAACTCCATGTAACACCGTAATTTTATGATTGCGAAAAAAATAAAAAAATACGTGTGTAATATTTTTTAACACTCTACCTGACGAACAAACAAACAAAAATTAGTCGTCATCCCTATTATATTTGCTTGAAGAAACACCCAAAATATTATGTTCTGTCAAACTACTTCACAGCATAATAAGAAGTGGCATGTATTTAACGCGGCGACAAATAGATACCATTCCGGGTTTTAAAAAAACTGAAAATGGATAGTAAATAAACTACTTTGGTAACTAATTTGAGGTAGTATTTTAACTAGAAAGCGGCGGCTTTTTGATGAGTTTTGAGGTTTTATTTCAATTTTATCTGGCAGTGATTTTCTTTTGTGGCAATTCAATTTCTTCTAAGGCGACAAATTATTGGCGGATAAAAAAGTTAAAATAGGCTTTCATAAATTCTAAAATGGGGTCGTCTATAAACTCGACCAAGGTCTGAAATAAATACAAACAAGATCTTAAAAAAAAAAACTTTTGGCTACATTTGTAGGGATCTAAATAAACTAAATTGTGACATACTAAAAAACTATTCTTGGTCTATTTATTTTTTTCTTGACTATCTTATTTATTATTAATCTTCCCTCTTTTAAATGAACTTTAAATGAACCTACCTACTTTGAGTAACTAGGTACTCAAACATAAGAATTGTTGGTAAATCTTGGTAGGTACTCAAAGTAGGTAGGTTCATTTATTCTAGTGCTATATTTCAGCTTTAAACTCCTTTTTTATTAATTTAAATAGCATGCAATAAAAGGCATAAAATTTGTTTCATTGTCTTTTTTTATTAATTTTCCTTCAATACACAAAATATGTAATTTACTTAATAGTCACAAAACCAAAAAAGTTTTAAAGAATTATAAAAAATCTACCTATTGCATTATTAATGCAGGCTTTGACTTGGTAGGGCGTCGTCTCTTCCTTTTTAATCCGATCGGTATTGACTTTGCATCGATAAGCAGGGTGGTAAGTTTTAGTCGGATGGCTAGACCCAGTATATAATAATAATATGTATTAGACCACAACAAAATACATGATTTTCGTTATATCTAAGCTTATCATATACTGTACCTAATTAGTTTGCATCTGCTGCTGAACTGAGTTAATACCCGTCTTTTAGCATACAGCGCCTCAAAACCTCAAATTCTTGAAATTACTAAGTATATATTAAGCAGATAAGCAACACTAAAATTTGTTTCTTATATTTGGCACATACTTTAACTAAGTGTTATCCTTTCGGTGAGTAGAATGATATGACTGAGTGCGTGTGAGAGGGTGAGTAAGTTGAGTAGTGAATTATAAAACTTAAAATTCCAAACACTAATATCCAAATCTAATATCCAAATACATTATTATAATACCCATTTTTAGTTTTAAAGCTACCTAACAATCGCTGCCAGATGTGGATTTTTATAATGAAAGGCAATAGTTGCCAGTGAAGAATGTTTGATGTCCCCTCGGAAAAATTTGTCGCCACATTAGGTTTTATAATACCTTAACCAGTTTAACACTGATCCCGCTTGATATATTTGATACCTTACAGTAGCAGCCATTATTTTGGTTTTTTAATCCTAGCATTTTGTTGCTTGTATAATTTAATAGTTGCTAAGATATTTAATCACTGCAAAGTTAGTTTTTTTGTGACTTAATAGAAAGTTGCCTAGAAAGGATTTCAGTTACCGTGTTAAATATTTGCCATAAGAAATTATTAAATAGACAAGTTCTATCAGATAATCGGACAAAGTCCTTTAAATGTTCAGTAACTGTAGTATGTGTAAATTCTTTCCTGTTTGTGTAGTTTAAGCATATTGTAAAATTATTCGAATGTAAAATACATTTTTTGTTAAATTTTAAACACAACGATTTAGTTTTGTGCTATGTATGCGATGTTGTATATTTATTTATCTATATATTTATCTAGGTCTGGTAGTAGACGGCAGCGTATCATTTCCATTCAACGATGGCTGCGAAGCGACACTCGAAGTGCACCCGGAGGACGCGTTGATGACAGTACAAATGGATGATCAATTACCATATTAAAGTCTAATATAGAATAGAGTCGTGTTTAGTTATAATTATTTCATTCCGCACGCAGGGGTCGCTGGTTCGATTCTCTTATGGCAATCAGTTTGTCTCGTGTTTAGATATTTCGATCTCTTTCTTGAGTCCGTGATAATATAGTTCGTTCGTTTTAACGTTGAAAATCTCGTTTTCAGTCTTTCAGCAAAATATTATTACATCACAATGGTGAAACGTATTACCAATACTGAAAATCAGTATCTGCAACACATATGCTTTCTCCCTTGCACTCTTGAGATGGGACTCGAACCCACGACCTTTTGCAATCCGGGCGACTGATTTAACCTCTCGAGCTACCCAGGACACGACAGGACTGACCAATTTTTGTTACCAATATTACTCTTTCGCTACTACATTGATGAAAATACGCTCAGTATAAAAATTTGTCAGTCCTGTTGGGTCCTGGCTAGCTCAGTAGTTGGATCGCCCGAATTGCGAAAGGTCATGGGTAACAAGCTAACTTAATACCTACTGTATTGGATGTGCTTTCGATTCATTCCGATCAAGAAGTTCGATATAAGTGTAATACTAGTGCCATCTATAAATAGAACGGAACCGTGACATATCACATTTAGGGTCGGCACGTATCTGATAGAAGACCAATATCGTATCACTCGCAGAACGTCAGCACTGATAAAGTATAAAATGTAAGATTCGAAGTTGCACACCGTGAATGTAATAACGCAACTTCCGTGATGCATGACGCATTTTCTTATAAATATGTGCAGACCCTATTTCTGTTATGTGAACATGCTACATGCATGCATGCTACTAATATTATAAATGTGAAAGTTCCTTTGTTTGGATGTTTGTCCGTCAATCACGCCGAAAGTACTGAACGGATTTTGATGAAATTTGGTATACAGATAGGGTATTAGTTGACTTAGATAATAGGATACTTTTATCCCACTAAACATTTCCCTAGGGACCACGCTGGCGAAAGCTAGTTGTCTTATAAAATAATGTGGCAGTTAAAATGAAAAATTATGCAAATCTCCGCGTAGATGACTCCATTAGTACATGTAGCAAACAAAGCAATTTCTTCGAACATTTTGAAAATGAATTCCCTTCTTAATTAAATCCAAATATACAGTAGCCTGGGTGAAAAAAAAGAAATTGTTTTTAGTATATTTTATATTTCTATTTAACATGTAATAGCTTAGATAACAGACATTAAATTTGAGGAGTAGAGGCTCGCTACGTCACAACTTTATAGAAAATGTATGAAAGTGTGAAATCATGTGAAATTCTAACTCAATGTATTGCCGTAATTTATTGTGTACGTAAAATATATAAAAAAATGCTTATTATTCTTCAATAATTTACCTGACGAACAGACAAAAAAAATAGGCAACATTCCTATTGTGTATTACTGATAAAATTACAGTATTTCTAATGAGGAAGTATTAAAAAAAAACATTCGTTTCCAAAATCAAAGTAGATGTCGCTACGGTACTTTCGTGATTTCTCCATAACGACCCTTCCGGTTTTCTTTCATGTATAAAAGTTAATTAGTTTTCTAAACTCAGTAAGCAACTTATATTCTATTTGTACTTTTTCGTATTTGTATTGATATCTAAGTTTCGAACTTTATAGGATTTCAGTTTTTTATGTGTTAGTTAAAATTTGTATCTAAGTTTCGAACTTTATAAAATTTCTTTTTTTATGTGTTAGTGAAAAGGAACTGACTATCTTTGCTCCATTAGTTTGCTGCTAAAATCTACTTTTGCCAGAGTCGCCATCTAGTGAAGGTGCGTTTTTAGTGCTTCCTTTTTTTAAATACTTCCTCATTATAAATTAAAAAACAAAATTTCTACTGTTGACTGTTGACGACGTATGATGTTTATAAAAATGTTTATTACATGTGCTATTCCTGCAATCTAGCGACAAAAAGTTACAGTAATAAGTGCTATTAAAACAGATTTGTGTATAATTTTATATGAATATATTTTGTATATATTAAACTAAGTTAGAGTAAGACTGAACGATTAGTTTTAAGTCTATAATAAATATTTAATTTGCATAAAGTGGCCTTTGTAGTTACGCTATTTATTATTTGAAAATATCAGATAAAAGTCGCGTGCATATGATGTAGGTTATGTTTACCTATATTTATTGTTGTGGTTAGTTGCCAGGGGTAACAACATGCGGCCCGCGAGTCACATGCGGCTCTTTCGATAAAAAATTGTGGCGCTTTCGATAGAAAATTGCGGCTCTCGAGTTCCATTTTCGTATAGACAAAAATAATTTTAGTGTCAAAATATTTAAAATCATGTAATTGATCTATAGAGTATACAAAGTACGAGATATAAAGATATTTAAAAATTTTGTCCTTAATAAAAAAAAAAAAATTACATGTAAAATGAAAATGAAATGAATGAAAGATGGCGATGATCTGTTGTCGGATGAACAAAAAAATATCATATATAGGGTTGATCTGCACATACAAGCGATTGTTTATAAATGTCATTTTGCCAAAGAGAATTTGAACACTACGTTTTCATTTTAATGACTCTGATTAAAAATCGTAGTATAGCGAGTGATTGACACCACTCGTTGCAGTCGGGGAAAACAAAAAAATATGAAATTTTATGTCCAATGTAAATTAGCAGTAAACTAGGCTGTTTACGCGAGTCGAATCATTAAAACATAGAGCTCCTTCGCTCATTATACAATATTCTATTACGGTTACCAGCTATCATCTATGCTCTTCTTCCAAACCTTGATAGCTTAACATAATGTTCGTCATATGCAGGCGTTCATATAATTAATAACTTAGCAGTAATATCAAACTAGCCATGTCGTTGTAATGTCATGACGTAGGCTGATATTTAAATTGGTTACTTGTACTGTACAGTAAGTGCTATTTTTATATATGATTGAAAATAGTTAAATCAAATGATATAAGATTGGCTTTCGTGTAGGACTGGAACTGATTCCCATCTGTCTTGAAATTATGTAACCGATGTTCTCTGAAGTTATATGTGTGTTAAATTGCCAGATCTTTGTCATTACGATGCAGGCTAGTTACTGCCATCTTGTAACTGTGCTATGTAACTATAGTTATCGTCGTCCTCGTCTTGTCTATTATTATTATCAATGTGAGATAGATGTCGCTCATTCACCACAATCCCAACAATAAATATAGGATGCTGATTCACTTATTGTGTTATATGTTATTTAATAATTTATTGTTTATTTTTACGTTTTCAAATTAATGCGCACAAAGTATCTGTCATTTGGCAACTGAAATTGATTTTGTGGTTACGCTATTGAATTTTTTATATTTAATTCAAATAGTTGTCTTCCTGTTGTCAACTCGTCACCAAATTATTTGTATTTATTACTGGATGAAATATATAATTCACACTAAATATGGTTTTATTTATAACTTGCTAATGAAATTTCATTATCACGATGGTGTTACAATAAGAAAATATTTCGTAGTTTTATTATTAGGTGGTCTAAATGTATGGATAATTCAGATCAGTTTAAAATTTCAGAAATAAGTGCAATTTTTTTTTAACTGTAGTAAATACTGAAAAGATTAACTCCCAATTTTCTTCGCTAATTTATTTGCAACACATTTCTAAAATTGTTCGCTACATCAACATAACTAATACTAGGGCGACAGCTGGTTGTAAGAAGTAGGGTAAGGTGGTAATATTGATTTAAGCAATTTTGAACTGACTTTGATATAAACTATAACATTATCTCTTTATTATATTTGATCAACTTTGCATTCACATTGCTATAGCTGAAAAATATTCTTAATGGAAAATGCTCAAAAAATTCACTTTGTCCTTGGCACTCTGAGATGGGCAATCAATAGAGCAGCCGCCCGGATTGCGAAAGGTCATGGGTGAGTGCCGGGGACATAGTGGATGGTTTTTTAAGCATTTTTCATTAAGAATCTATCTTTCTTTACTTAGAATTATTAAAACATGACTATAATTACCTAGCAACAAGTTAATTTTAATTGCATATTAAAAAGTTGATTGTAACACTGTGCCCCGTATCTGGGGTACTTTATTACAGGACAAGTTCTTTTATTTTCGGGATTAAATAAAAATCGCAAGGTGCGAGTTTGGTGCTTGAATTCCCTCCTTCCCTCTTTGCAACGCCATGAAATTAATATTCTTTTCATATGGTGCTTTTCGAAGAGTTATCTCACTTTGGACCATCAGAGTCTTTTCTCTCATATTTCTTTCAGTATGAAAACCATGATCCGTCTTTCTATTACTATAACTTACCATTTTCTTTTAAAAGCCAGGCGTAAAACAAACTAGAAATTTGGTTGCGTTGTTGCAGGTAACACGGTACTCCGTAACTCTGTGCCCCAAATGTATTTACAATAAACAATCAAACAATAATATGAAGCCATAAACCAGCAAATATATGTAAACCTTAATCACTTACCTGAACATCATATTACAGCAAAAAAATGAAAAAGACCTACAATGTACTTTACGTTTGGTCACCTAAATTCATTTTCAATAAAATAACATCAATATGCGGGATAAATTGCGATACTGAAAACTAATCCAAGATGGCCATTTAAGAGCTTGTCAAACCTGTATACAAACATGAAGACAAATATTTTAAAAAGTAATGACAAGGATGGAGATATGTGCATTGTAACTATGTGACACCAAGCCCACCTTACTCCAGTATTTTCCGCTAACAGAATAACACGCGTCCTTGTACAGTCAACAGATCCGCAGATTATACAAAACTATCAAATTTATCCACTTCATTTGAAACCCCTATTAGAGGGTAGATTCAAAATCAATTGCGGAATTTTGAAATATTGTGGTAACCTGACGTGCAGCCGTGTGTACGTCAGCATAACTACAGTACTAGTGACACAGTTGTTTGAAAGACGTAGTACTTATTTTTCCACAAAAATATTAACACGCGTGCAGGTACGTCTATACAGTTATAATACTAGGGCGATAACAGTTTGTAAGAATTAGTATCGTTTGTAAAAGAAGTTGTAGGCACTCGCGTTATCTTTTGTGTCTTCTTTCTTTACCTTGTCTGCAATCTACAAGCTTATCATAAACAAGAAATAATTAGTCTGAATGCGTAAAAATAAAGCTACATACGAATTGCTTGTTTTTTAAAAAATCACACGATTGGAGTGTATTCCCATCCAGTCCAAAAACTGTCCGCTTATTAGACTCGTTTTGTTATAAACCACCGTAATTTGATCCTATTTTGCTCCTAGGCTGGTAAAAATGCTCCACTTAAAAAAAAAGAATTAACCTATTTTTGTGTATTGATACGTAAGTTTAAGAAGAATTCAATATTTTTATATGACAATACTTTTCTTGGTCGGGCAACAACAAAAGTGACAGATGTCAAAGTCGGCCATTTCGTTTTCTGTGTGTGAGAAAACCACATCGCTTCTTATGGTGATAATTTAAAAGTAAGTAAAATCTATTTGCATCTCATAAATTTGTAAAAAAAACCTTGAAATCGCATATATATTAGTTAGTGCACTTCATAAACGCTCTAATTCAGATAATATTTAATATTGAACGAAAGCACTTTATTTCTCGTATTAGTTTTTTTTACTTGTGTATACTTTACGCCAACTTTTGAGGTTATATTGCGCCTGGAGCAATTTTTCCCCCAAGGTATTCATTTACCTATTTTATTTTTTCTAGGCTTTAAATATGCCTAGGACTTATAAAAGAAGAGTTGACGCAAGACGATACAAGGCATATACAAAGGAAAAGCTACAAGAATGTCTTTTGGCATTAGAAAATAAAACCATGTCTCAGAGAGAGGCTGAAAGGTATTTTAACATTCCTAGGCGTACAATTATTAATCACGTCAGAGCTATGAAAAATAAAATCATTGTAAAATCACCAGGTCATCCCAAAGTATTTGATGATGAAGAAGAAGCACAGTTTTCTAGTTGTCTTAAACTAATGGGAATTTACGGATTCCCTTTAACTGAGTTTGATTTCCTCTTACTCTTAGGTAAGGAAAAGTGTTACAAATAAATAAATATTTTGCAGCAATAAACTTACAATCACTTCTAAATTCGAGGCAAATTCGCCCTTTCTTTACGATTATCCAACCGTCAAAGAAAGGGCAAATTCGCCTCGAATTTCATTATTATTTTTTACACAGGAAAGGTAGAAAAGAATATAAAAACCACCCTCATATTTAAGTCAGTATATTTGTTAAAAAAATAATTCGTACACAGTCACACCGCCCGATACCGTTCCAGAATCCCATTGTAATAAAAATAAAAAGTTACAATATTAATAATACATTACACAATGAGATAGTATGAAACGTGTGTCGGTAATTCGTTGTTACAATAATAATCAATATAAGCAAGTACGCTATAGAGTTGCGAATAGTCAAAGCTATTATTTATTCAGACATGTTTGATTTATATTTTGTTATTAATTAACACCTAATTGACCCAATACGTGTACGTTGATTCCGGATGTCTAGACGCAACACCTGTTACCTTATCTAAATAATAATAAAAAGTTGTCATAGACAATAGCACCGAAACGGACGGGGTTGTTTATGGAAACTTAAAATATATCTAAACTTAAAAAATATGGCATTTTTCTTGTTGTCTGTTACAAAAGCTTTTTTAATTTGGAGTTACTTTTGGCCCTTTGACTCACAAGTACAATGAAGAAAGATTTCCCAACACCTAAAAGAAATAAAGATGTCAAACAGAAAAAAATATTTTCCTACTTTTCTTTTTTTAACCCCATTGCTTTGTTCTATACTTTCATTATGAGCGTTCATAATATATATAATTTAAACATTCAATGTTATTAAGTGTATGGTAATTTATGTTAAAATTGCTCAGAAAATAAAATTGAACGAACTTCGTAGTATAATTGTTTAAAAAATTAAGTGCGATGCGTTTTTATTTGGCAGTATATTCGTGTATCTATACGACAATTTATCAATTGCTAAACATTTATCGCCAGCTTATATAATACTGGTTTTTTTATTATATTTATTTACGTAGTTCAAGGTTACCACATAAGAATATATTTATTTTTGGAAATTGATACCATTAAAACTTTGTCTTTAAAGATATCGCTTATCTTAGTAATCAAAAAGTTGTTAGTGGTACCAACCTCGAAATATAAACACTATTATAAAAACTATTAAAAATATAAAGAGGACGGATACATTATGCAAAATTATCACAATATAAATTATTACACTTTTTCCATAAATGGTAAGCCTTAAAATTTAATAAAATGGTAAATTACTTACTAAAAATTGACTTCGTTGTGTTATTTGTACATACACAACTAATATAATACAAATTAATATAATATAAAACTAAATGCCATTCATATTTTGTTTTGGCAGTTTAATAATAACACCATTTCTAATCTGAAATAGATAATTTATGGTGTAACAGGGAATGTATACGAATTGATATTCTTTTATACAACCGACTTATAGGCAGTATCACTATACAATTATTTGTTACTAAATTTTTAGGAATCTTTTTTCGTTAATTTATCATTAAAACTGACGATGTCAAATTCGATGTACCCTAGAAATATTTTTCCAATACAAACAATTTGATATTGTACCAATTTTCATGTTTTTTATTTTGATTGAAAAATACAAGCGTGACACATGAATACCCTATATGCAAATGCTTTTTATTTAATGTAGCGTTATTACATCTCTTTGAACTTTTTGGCCAAAAGTAAATCTAGTGCACATATATATTTTTTTAATAGTCTTTAAACGAATATAGAATAAAATAGAAATACATATGAAGACGTACCGAATTCAGACAGTAGATACAGCCATGCCAAGATAGCGTTGAGATTGGATTTAAAACAGTGTAATAACCGCTACAATTTTATATCATGAGCTTTCGAAAATGGAACGCTTAACTCGTATGCGAGTAGCCAGTGTTAGTGTAAGGGCCGCTGTATAATGAGCTGCCAGTGCGCGAATATGTCTTCGGGTTACGTCTTCGCGCCAATATGAATGCGATTGCTGCTATCACGCAGGTCATAAGGATGACCCCAGCGATGCATATGCCGATAGCGAAATTCCTCTGCGATATGCAGATCTCGTCTTCTTTCTGAAATAGCAGTGTATATAATTAGGTTTGGAGCATGTTTTTTAAATTAGCAAACATGTTACTAGTTTTAGGTTACAACTGACAGCATTATCGCTTTTGTTGGTTATACTGTGCTGCTAGATGTTGCTTAACCCCAAGTGAAGTTCAGCGAATCATTTTTATAATTCAGTAGCTACTTTAAATAAATGTTCATCATCATCGTCAGCTGGTTAATGTCCCTGTATATAGGAAGAATGTGTCAAGGCCCTTCACGCGTGCCCAGTGCGGATTGATGGGTGTTAACGACTGCAAATGTAGACTGGGACCAATGGCTTAACATGCCTTTTAAAGCACGGAGGATCTCCACATAAGAGCATTACACTCTTAAATAACGTATAGTCTCCTTATTTAATTCTATAGGTACATAGAAAAGATAGGTAGATATTAATATAGTGAATAGAACCTTATGTAGCCCGCATACAGTACCTTTTCGCTGACAACTTCATCGCTCTCCAAAGAGTCCGCTTCGTTCACATACAGGCCGGTGAACACCTCGACGGTGGCAGGTGAACCTTCGTCGAGGTCGCGACGCAACCTCTTGCTTTTGTCCGTGCACGATCTACGGAACTGAGAAGAAACATAGACGTAAGGATTTTCCAAAATTTATTAAATTGAATACTATGGTCAGCTGCTATATGGAAAGGCCGCTACACGATGACGCTGCTATACGACAACACCGCTATTGGGCCGTCCATTAATCACGTGAGGCCCGAAAGGGGGAAGGGGGGGAGGTTTTCCTCAAAAATCATAAAATATCACAAGGGGGTGGGGGGTGTAGTAATATATCACGTGTATTTATTTTTCCTCGACGCGAGATTATTAAACGGAAAAGCGACGTCAAAAATGAAAATATATATTTTAAATACCCGTGATTTGGTTGAAGGATGGAGGGCTAGTATTAAGCCTCACCATGTATCACCAAGGGGGAGTGGGGGGGGGGGTCAAAAATGTTGAAAAAGATCACGTGATTAATGGACGACCCCTATGTGACTTTGATCTGTATGACGACGTCATTATAACGTACTGCTCATTTATTAAAACTATTTAACTAAGTAAAGGTAGTACTTGTGTTTCTCTTTATACATTTGTGTCACTTTCATCTTTAAGTAACGTTATTTTCAATTTTAAAAAATGTTTTAGGTGTCAGTTACCTTTATTTTTGGAAAAAATGCATTCTAAAAATTACATTCTAAACTTATAAGTATAAATATTTATTGTACTATTGCATTCATATATAGTGGTTGTTATTACCTACTTACTGCTATCTTAGTAAATTTTAAATTTAAAAAATTTAAAATTTAGTAAATTAATAAATTATTGAGTATTAAAAATGTAAAAATTATAATTATAATAAATAGAGCATAGTCTGAAGTCTGATTAAATAATACTCACGCATTCATTCTTGCACAATTTAACGCCACATGTGTAGTATACACTGGGACTCCAAGCGAATTTGTGAGCGGAGAAAGACACTTGTGCACGCAAGCCATCTGAGGAGTATTGGAACATGCCCATCACCGCGCTATCTAAAGGACATCTGTAAACGAAATATATATTTTTTAATTGGACTAATTCTGTCGTAGTCCGAAGGTGTAGGTACAGTACGCATAAACAAGATGAATTAACATGCCACCTGAAGGCCTATTCTATTTCTTCGAAAATGAAATATTACCCGTCCTCATCGATGAGCTTGTGTTCCGCCCATCCTAAGGCGTCGTGCACGAAACAATCGCGCACCAACATCCCGACGCGGTCCTGCTTCTCAAGGGACACCACCAGCGTCACCGTATCGCCCACCTTCGCTTCTGACACCTCCTTGGAAGAACAACGATATATTATGTTGTATAAAAAAACAATCTGCTGTTATCCATCTTGGCAGGGCCCGATCTAGTGGCTTGGAAGTTAAAGGAAAAATTAAAATAATCTTTATTTAAGATTATATTAATGGCCGAAAATAATATTCGATCTTTACATTCATAACAATATTTTAATTATAGATGTGATGTTAAATCGTTGAAATTGTATAGTGTTATCATACTCAAAAACTTGGACAAGCATTTAAATGACATTTTTTGAGATAAATAATGTGATAGAGATTTTATTAGATTTTCTTCCCAAAAAAATTGAGGAATCCGTCAGACCAACCTCATCGTATCAAATTTGCCACCCCTTATTTGTGCCGCGCTATGGGCAATAAGGCAGCTCGGTGGCGTAGTCTATAAGCGCCGCGACCCGCGATCGTTGTCGTATAGAAACTTTCGCAAGGGTCGGTCACGGGATGGGTGACCAAAAAAATATTATCTCGAGCTACTCCGTGCTTCGGAAGGCACGTTAAGCCGTTGGTCCTGGCTGCATTTCCAGTCATTAATACCCTCTAATGCGCATTGGGCCACCATATTGTAACTATCCATAAGGAAGGCCTGAGCCCCTGCAGTGGGGACGTAAAAGGGCTGCTTATGAGGATGACGGGCAATTACCCGCCTTGCTCACCCTTATATTCGGCTCTGTATTCCACCATGCTGAGGAAACTTATTGTTTATTTCTTTTCATCAATAATGTTGTTTCACAAAAAATACTCACATTTTTATCTTTAGGGTCCCCCTTGAACAATTGCATGGTGACCGAAGGCAACATAACGAATTCCTTCTCCAGGTCCTGAAGGTCGCTGTGTAGCAATAAAATAATTTAAACCAAATAAACTTTGAAACTTTCGCGTTGCAATAAATTGTAAGGAACGGGTATCACATATGATTACGCGAATAGTTAGATCATGGACGAATAAGATTGGTCCTTGTTTAGGTTTTTCCAACTATATCTAACTTATATATATCTGCCGAGTTACAATGACTGTTATCACAGGTTGACTGCTATTCTATTATTGTTATGCTCTCGCTATGCTATCTCTCGTCTGAAGTGGAATTCATTTCTAGCGTCACACACAATATTATTAGTGTTCCTTTGGGAAATATAGCCAAGTGGAAGATTCGTACTATTCGCCTAATCGCTTGTAATACCCATTTCTTACAATTTGATGTAACTTAACTTATCAACACGATAAGATATATTAGTGGGATCAATAACGGAATATTATGTAACATAGACATACACATACACTAAAAAAATCAGCACCCATATATGAAAAATCTTTTATATGATTATTCGCGCATCTGACTCTGTCTATTTGTTGATTAATTCATTTGCCACACTACAGGACCAATTCAATCGAATTTTAGTGTACATATGTACAAGTAAGTCGGTGACTTCAAAACGGTCGGTAAATAAATGAACGATGAATTCTTAAACATACTGAAAATAGGTCTTTCTATGTTCTGTGGTATATGTCCCAACGGCCGGATCCAAGATAATATAGAAAAGTCCATAGGCTACATTGATCTAATATGCAATCGATTCATCAGAGATGCCTACACCATGATACCGACGCCGGCGTTTGACCCCACAGAGGTCTAATTATTGACCAATCAAATGAGCCTAGAGAATCCGCATTTCGCGTGCCATATCGGCCAATGTAAATGTGCCATCACTTACTTATCGTCAACTAGTGATTTTCCGGTGCGGTCGTTCTTCTGGGAATGTATTATGTGGAACTGCATGAGGTCGCGGCGCCGGTATCGACATCGTACATGATACCCCCGCCCTTGGCCCGTCACTATCTTCGGATGGGGCTGCACTATGATGTTATTGTAATATTCCACGGTGCCATCATCCTGGGGAGAAAAGGATTAGTTGAATTTCATTGTAAACATTAGCTGCATAAACGTTTTAAATAGGTAAAGTTCCTAACGTTGTTTGTTTATTTGTCTGTGGTAATTTTTGGAAATACTGGACCGTTCATACAATTCTTTCACATACGGGTAGCTAGAATATACGCGGGTAATATAGACTATAATTTACGCTGGCGAATTCGCTGGAGAACAGTTTATAATATTATAATGAGGAAAGATTTGATTGTTTGTTTGTTTGTACTATATAACTAATGGATCGATTTTAAAATTCTTTTACAATTGGAATCCTATATTAGAACAGATGAATATTTTAAAAAATGTTAGAGATCCTTATGTAAACTTGGATAACCGTGCAAAGCTTTGTTTCAATATTTATTAATATTCATTCATAATGCTTTAGTTTAATGCTATAAATTTCGCGAGTTCAATATTCTTAGCGCTTAAAAAAATATAATATACTAAAATCTCACGTATTTGCCTACGTCAAGTGAGAATCGTAAAAAGTTTCGGTTTCTTAAAAAAGTGGTTAAAATATTTTCTTGTACGAGCTTGATCGAGGGGTGGCTGTCCTGTCGAACAATGGGGGGACGTGACATCACATCCGTTGCGTTCGCGCACGAAATTTTGGAAGGAAGTCGACCGGAACGACTCGAATTCACAATCTTCATGTGCGGTAAAATAATGGTGGGATCATGTTTAATTTAACGTTCGAAAATAGCTGTATTTGATAAAAACGAAAATAACTATTAACATTATTTTAATTATAGGTCTTTACAAAGAGAAAATGTGTTCTCTACCAGCCGACCAGTAAGGGTGTCAAATATACTATAGGGGGTGGCGCAACAAAGAGATTATAAGGAATATATACATATAATAAAAATAAAATATATGTACTGTCTATTTACTATACATATTTTACTGTCCCTAAGTCTTTAACACCCAGTTAAACAAACGACCATTAAATTATCAGTTTACTTATTAAGGTAGGTATAATTTTGAAAAGATACAGCATATACAACAGCAAAGAGTTTTGATATTTCAAGACCAGAAAGAGTTTTTTACTCTAGTTTGTTATAGTAATTTGATGTTTAAAAAAAACGAAAGAAAGTAATTAATCTTCATGCACAGTTATTCCAAAAAATGAAAGCGAATCAATGATAATTAAGGCCGACTTACATTAGTAACATAAGTGTGGATATTCCGTTGGTACCATCATACTTAATTGACGCCTTTCCATGCAAATGACTATTTTCAAACAGTAAATACATTTTTTGTTCAAATAAAGATATACTCGTTATATCGGTATTTTAAGCTGATTTGGTAGCGAAATAAAAAGACATTCATTCATTCAGAGTTCGGTAAAATAAATTTCATTATGATCCACAATTTTATTTAAAAAGTAACGATTTCCTAATCAATTGTTCATTCCGAAAATCTGTTCAATTGTTAATTGCCCTATTGTTACATAGCTAGACTCTTGCGCATCTTTGTAATTGGAAATATGCTGTTTTGATTAAGTAACATATTTTCTCTTTCTTTCTTACATATTGACAAAGAATGTGATATTTTGGAAATGTGAAATTGTGTGCCTAATTCAAAAATAATAATTTTAGCCTTGATTCAGGCACATAATGGGTAATCACTATTTAAAGCAAGTGATGTTAAGATTGATTAATGGTTTTGTATATTGTTGAGCTAACTTAAAACAATCGTAGGGATATCATGTACTTTTTTAACAATATTTTTTTTCAAAGTAAGTCATAAATGCCGTCTACTGACAGTAAAATAAGTGACGTCTCGTCTCATGTCTGACTCATATGAGTCCGATCTAATATATGTTCACAATAAGTTGGAATAGCAGCCGTCAGACTAGTAACCTATCAGCGACCTTGACTGCAGTAGTGGGCAGCAAGGCGTTCTTGGATATGTTAAAGTAAATTCACAAATCAGTAGCTTCTGATGATATTCAAAAAACGATGCCGCTTATTATTAAATTAAAATCTTTTTAATTTGTGCTTCGTAATTAATATTATGTGAAAGAACGAGGATTATTTGTGAGACTTGTAATGGTGCGTCGTACCAGACCGTTTATTTTGTCCTAGGTTCCCGAATCAAAACATCTTTAAGATAATTTTTTCTTTATTACTCGCTTTTCGTAACTTAAAATTGTTTGAAACACGAAATGCTCATTCTGAATGTCGGTTCATGGTCAGTTAATAAAAAATCTTCCGGCAATATTTTTTTTCAAAGACCGTTTACAATACTTTATAATCTATGCTATAATATAAATCTATGTGAAACATCTTATCTTATAAGGAAAACATTAAAAGTATGTAATTAAGTATTTTATTTATATGTAACCTAAGTTTTAGTAAATCCCATTTCGAACTATTTCTATATTATTTTATTTTGTTGTACAGTTCTTTTACCGTAAATATACTGGTCAAGCCTAGTCTTTTCATTTGACTACCATTCACCTAAGTTAGTCCGGACCCGTCACAGACTTTTATGAAATTGGTAGAAAATTAGTTTCTAAGTTCATCGGCGAATTGTTTGCAAACGAAGAAGCGACGCTCCTCCGCTAAGTCCGCATACGTCGGGATGCAACTCAATGGGTTAAGTTTCCCAATAAGTGCTTACACATACTGCCACTTTCTTTCATTATGGTAAATCCACCATTGATTATGAAAGTTAGTACTTTATTTCCTAAACGAATTGTGTCTGTTCATAAATATATATTAAACTTTTATAGTAGAACTTATTATATAAAATTTATATTAAACTAGTGGACCTGGCGATCTCTGGTCCGCCCAAGAAATTTGAATGTACAAAATATATAAACTTCTTGGTCCCGCCTTGTTGGGCATGAATGAGTAATTTAGGATTTAGCGATAATTTCTCACTATCTTAAGCGTCACCTCAACAAGTTTTCGTTTCTAATTTAATTTATAAAAGTTTTATGAAACTGTATTTTTGACTTGTGAAACGTAAAAAAACCTAATTTATTAAGAATATGAGATTAGTTGATATATCAGTTGAGATTTTGTTCTTTTCTCAATTCAGAAAGCAACTAATAGACAACAATACGCGAGCTGTCAGTTACTTACGTTTTATTATGACAAATCACTATTATCACATTTTTTTAAATCTTTTATAATAATTATTTTTTTTGATAATTATCATCAGCCTTTTAATGCCTTTTAATACCTATGTTATTCTAAAACTTATTATCTTATTCCCGACGAAGGCAAATCCAAAAACACAAATATCATGAAAAGCGGCCCAGCCGTTCTCGAGTTATAAATGGTGTAATTAACATAACATGACTTTCTTTTATATAATTATAGATTATCTGTAAATATTTCTTTTTCTTCTGTTTACATACGAGTATTCATATTACTATATAAGAGCTTGAGAAATTCGTCGGTCCCGTTTCGGGTTTCATTGAATAGATTAGAGCAATTGCCTGGATTGCGAAAGATTCGAATATCATCTGGGGCACCTAAGCCTGAGATTCAAAGACTTTTTCTTAAAGCTGCTATATAACTTTTCTAAACCGATTTGGCCTAAGAAAACAATTTGCAAGCAACAAACGTAGTCATCTAATATTGAATGGACGAAGACATCCTCTCCATTCATCCAAGTGTTGTTTATTACGTAAATATTAACCTGGTTGAGACATGTTTCGTACTCCGCAGGTATGATGTCACTAGACGTATAAGGAGATGCATGAAACGATGACCATGGTATTAAAGGCTTCCATTGTGACCTGGTTCACATAGACCTGGGTCAAGGACGTGTTAATCATAAAGTCCGGCCATAGATTATAGGTAAAAGAAAAGGTTTATAATAATTTAAAATCAAAACACTATTTCATTGAGCGTATTCGGATATGATTTCGTACCTACTGTTAACTATTCTTTTATATAAATCAATGAAAAGATTTTTTTTATTCTAATAATAAGCAATGCCGAGCCCGCATGGTAGGACACTGGCCATTCTCCCTATTCCACTCCATCCAAGGCCTATATCCCAGCAGTGGGGCATTAAAAGGCCGATGATGATAATTATACATCGTTCTTAGATTATTGTGACAATGGAATAACTTTAAAACTAATCAAACTAACTAACAAATTACTATTTAGTTTTTAGTTAAGTTTAGAGAGTGATACAATAAAATCAGAACTATTATAGGTGGATAAAGCCTATGGATTTAAAAAAGTCGGAGCTTTTCAATTTGAAGTTCGCAATGTCTTGAAAATAATTTGTATTTTAAAAATAATGAATTGTGTTTAAAAGTATTATAAAGTAAGCAAGGTTAAGTGTTCAGTACATTAATTCATTTACTTACGACATCCACTTAATTCGATGTAAGCTCTGAAATTATTCATGTCCTATTAAGCATTGCTAAAAGCAACCAAAGGACTGACAGCCACTTATAGCGAGATACTGCGAGCCAAATGTCCAGGATCCTGTTGTTGTTATGCACAACACACAAGTCTGGCCATTTTGTTTTTATTTATTTATTTGATTAGGACAACCAACAAGACACAAATCATCTATAAGTAAATTATTCAGTGCTTATAATATAAAATCGATGCTAAATTTTACCTTAATTATAGGTTGCCACGGCATACAAACACTTTCTGATTACTTATTTTTTATAAAGATTATTTATTTTTATACAATACAATTGTGATCAAAGATTTATATATTTTATTATAAAAAGGAATTACAAATAATTAAGTGACTAAGAAAGTGACTTTGGTTTATTTTATGTATAAAAAATAACTATGCTGTTTTCATGTCATTCCACAATGAAATAATTTCTTCAAATTAATCATCATTAAAATATTGATAAAGAACATGTCTTTTCTCGCCATCGCTCTGTTACTGTATGTGTAGCAAAGCTTTTAGCAATTTAATCCGAGTGATTTGCAGTCAACAGGTTATCGTATGACGTCATTTCCCTTACACGATGT